TCTTGTTCAGATTAAAAAAAGTTATCAGATTTTCACCTGGTCTGAACTTTTATAGTTTATTGTCAGAGGTATCAATCTGGCTTTTGGTTTTGAGCACTTTAGTTTGTACTTTTCATATCTGTTCATTCTTTTTCTCCTAAGAAAATCTTCTGTTCATTCCTTTTCTCCTAAGAAAATCTTCTGCATTATTCTTAGAAGGGCGTGCTTGTTCTTCTTAATACCTCCAAGACATTGGCTCTGTCACTCCCATCTGTTGGGCAATGGTGTGGTACATTCAAGTTGCACCAAGTACCGCACAAAGCAGTGACAGGCTTGCAATATTGGTGAAGTATGTTTAAGTACTTCAAATGTAAACATGTGGGCTTATAATATGCTGAGTCACGTGCATAGAGGGGCTTGATCTTTGTTTTGCAAGATGAAGAAACCTTTTCCAGCCTGTGATGCGGTGCATCCGCTTTGTTGTTGGCTGCCAATTAAAATCCACTTGCAAAATTTATCTTAGCCTGCTGTATAAAGTTCCAGTGGTTGAAGTCATGGTTACTCTTGATTCCAGGCATGTATGATGAGCTATCAGCATGAGCGCTACATTGCATATCCATCTGATGGACCTGCTTCTGCAAAGGGTGCAATAATCAATGATACACCAGATGAAAACGAGGCAGAGGAATCCAAAGAGATTGATGATATTCCAAGTGGTGAAGACAATCACGCAGAGGAATCAAAAGAGATGGATGATATTCCAAGTGGTGAAGACGGGGATTTGCAACCTGATAACCAATTGAATGGGGAAAAGGTGAGCGAAGCTTGCCCAAATGATGAAGATGGTGTGCCGCCAAAAAGTGGTGCAAACGGGAAAACAAGCATGGAGGAGTAGCCTTTACTTTCTCCACTTAATCGCACAAGTTGTAAGCATAACTTGCAGATGGAGAAGAGTAAGTTAACTGGCAAGTAACTGTTTAGCTTTTCTGGCAGTATCTGTATCTGATAGGAAGAAGATAAAGGGCACTCTCGTGTGGAGTCGTTTATCTGTACTGTACAGTGCAACAAAGAGAAATCTTGCTTGCAAAGGGATTTTGTTGTAATATTCATATCAACTAGCTAACCTAGTCACGGTGAACTCTTCTAAGAATTGAAATCACTGCCAGTCATTTGAAGTCGTTTTGTGGAGCATGGTTGATTTTTTCCCGCGCTTTCATTATGTTTCTTGTGCCCTGGAACTCAGGAATATCATCCCGGGCTCCTTTTCAGATCAATACTGTCAAGGGCATTTATTTTCTATTTTTCATGCCATACGATCATCATTTGTTGCTGAAATACGAAAATCTCCATGAATTCATAAAAAAAAAATTGACAAGGGCGTGTAAATGTCTTGGTTAATGGCTTGAAGTGTTCAAGAGAGAGCACAGATACATATGTACTCATTCGATGGGGAAAATAACTTAAACAGGAGCAAATATAAATAGACTCGTGCACATATTTGATGCCAAAATTGCCAAGACACAGAAGAAATGAGGGTACAAAGTTCGAGATTAGTTCCTGAGGCTCATGTCAATCTCCAATAAACTTCCGTTTCTTTGTTGTGTTCATGTATGGTCTCAGCACCCATTCATTTTGTGCTTCGGTCTGATCCACTGTCCCTAACTTTATCTGCAGAGCCAATGTAGAAACAGAAACATCAATAATCCAAAAATTACACTGACGATAAGTAATAATATCAGAAGGCATTGCAGAGGCTATATAAGTGATGTAATAATGTTTTGCCAATAACTGATATCAATCAGATTCTGGATGCCTACAATTTCTCTATCACGGAAAAATAAAATTAGAATATCACGGAAGCCATTTCTAACTTCGAGGCAAGAAATCTTAGGCGAGGTAAAAAATTGAACTAATTGATATTAGAGATACCTGATAAAGCCGCATTTCGAAACGTGGACCAATTTCTTTGAGCTCAACAGACTTAGGGCCTCCATGCTTTTCATAAATATGATGCCTAAACAATACCAAATAAAAAAAATCAGCCAAAGCATATTGCATATGAAGAAAAGGTGATCAGTTCGGTACAAAAAAGATGATGAATTTCGCTAATTAACAGCTAGCAAACAGAAAACACAATAGCCAACTGGAAGAAAATGTTCAGACTTGAGATAACCAAACACATGACAGGAAAATAATATTACAGGTAATGGTTTGTGCATATATACCCTCTTCCTATTCAGTAACCAGGTTGACCATGTTTGGACCTAACAATACAAATTTTTTATTTTTTTTTATTTTGATTTTTCTCCTTTTTTTATCAGGATACATGTTATGTCGTAGGCCAAGTAATTCAAGAATATTTTTCAAAGCTTTCAATCTTTAAATATACACTCTGTTAGTCAACTCAGGATATTTTCTGATAAATTTGAATACTTTCCAACGTCAAACATCATTGCTATTCCCCCCAACACAAAGTGATGTAAGAGCTAGTAGAGCAGAAGGCAACTTGCTTATGACTGCTGCCTCCTGTCATTTGCTAGGACTAAAGCATCATTACGGGATTTTTTTTTAAAAAAAAAAAACCATTGTTTTCCACAACAAATTAACAATGTAGATAAGCTATTTGATGAGGTCTACTTGGAGGTCTTTCACAAACATAAACAAGCTGATCTTAAGACAGGTATCCCAAGCAACTCCAAGCAAAGGTACCCATGCAATTACAATATAATGGCATAAAATAAGACATCATGGAAGTTGTTTCAAATTGTCCTCATTTGGCTTGAAACAAGAATCTTTCATGGACTAGAACAGGGAACCAACCTGAAGGAGATATAGTCAGATTGATTTGCAAAAGTAATGATGCGTTTTGTATCTGGCTTTGGCATAGGGAAAAGATGTTTTAGAATATTTGCTGTTCTTTCTCCCAGCTGTCAATATCAACAAAAGAAATTCCACAATGGAACCATCCACAGGTTAAAACGTTTAAGTAATAAAGCAATTGTTTGAATTGGTTATGTACTGGTTAAATAGCACAATTTCCATTTCTTTCAAAAGCAACAAGCTAACTCAAGGCTGTTAATTGTCTATCAAATCTTCAAATGACCACCAGTTGCACACGAAGAAGTCAAACTCCAAAACTGAAGAATAGACATTCAGGGAATGAGAAATTAATACCTTGGATTTAAAATTGTTAAGAATTAAATGTGGGTGGGCCTCAGGCATAGTTCCGATGGCTTTCTTGTCCTTAATGTCATGTCTAGTAACCTACAATAAGGACACTTAATCAGCATACAAAATTCCCCAAGACATTAGCCCAATGAATACTCCCAAAAAATGTAAGAATAACCAAACTACTTACCACATTGAGCAATTCAAAGTAAGCAGTTGGACCAAATGGTAGGTGGCATATAACCAAACCATCTGGCACACCACGATGCTCATGCACCAAAATCACATCAGTATAATCATGTGCCCGACAACTTTCAATAATCTCAGATATAACCTGCAAATGAGCATTTTTTCAAAAAAGTCACTAACATATCACACAGATTCAATCTCCTACACAGCCAAGAAAATCTAGACTCGCAGGCTTTAACAAAACTCAACGTCCTCTATACACTCACACAACAAAATTCTATTAACCACCCATTTCTTCACCATCTCTACGTAAATCATTCTATTAACCACCCATTTCTTCACCATCTCTACGTAAATCATTAAATGCGAAAACACAAATGCCAAACCATCTTCTTAACCCCAAGTCAGTATCTTGAAAGAGAAATTATTAGTTATACCAATAGCTGCCCTGCTCCATCCCACAAAAACATCAGACTCACCATGAAAATAATTCTTGAGTCCCACCTTTAGATGCAAGGGAGGAGCACAACTCCGAGCATAAACTTAACATATTAATTCACTAACCTGACCACCACGATTGATTCGTTCTGCATTTGGAAACACAAACTTCAATTCCTGTGAAAGGTTCCGCCCAACCATCCGAATCAAATTCTCAACAAAACAAATCCATGTGTTTAACACATTCAAAACAACATAATATTTCATAATTAATTTTTTCAACACAATTCAACGCGTAAACCTAACAAATTACCTTAACAAACTGAGTAAGAGGAGCGCTCGGATCCCTCGACGTAGTCAATAAAATTTTCGGGTCTCGTTCGGTCGCTTTCGCATACTCGTCATCAATATGACTCCTCGGTACTAAAATTATGCAAACAATAAAATAATTAACTAAAAATTAAATAAGAAATTATATATATAAAAAGGAAGCTTACTTGCGGTGTTTTCATCTTCAAGATCAATTTCTTGACGAAGAGCGGCTTCTTCGTTTCGAAGCTCAGTAGGAATCGGTTTTCCCTCTGTAAAAATTAATTAATTAAAAAAATCTGTTTTTTTATTAAATTAATTAATTAAAAAAAAGGGAAGAGGATTGGAACCAGCTAGGGCTTCTTTGATTTTGCGTTTCTTCTCGTAAAGTAAACGTTCTTTGCCTTCTAAGCTTTTTCGGTACAAATACTCTCTTCTTAATCGGATGTTTCGACGGAGCATATTTAGATAGAGAGAGAAATTTAGGGTTTTTGTTAGGGTTTTTGCTTAGTGAAATAGAGGAGGAAGATGGCGCTCGGTCTAAACGACACTGTTTCTATTTTATTAATGTCTTATGTAAACGACATGTCGTGTTGAAGATTTGAGATGGGTTTACGGGATTCGAACTCGAGTGTGTGATAATATTGAATATTTATAAATTAAACTAAAAGTAGATTGGTTGGGTTAACTCTGAATCCACAAATTAACACGTTGTTTTGAATTTGATATATGAAATAATATCATTTTAATTTCAAAAAAATATCTAATTCAAAATAAAACCTCAATTAAATTAAATTTCAAGTTTATCTGTTAGATCAGGATTTATAAATTTATTTCTTAAGTTTTTTTTTAAAAAAAATTAATCATAAGACATCGACAAAGCATTATGAAAGTACTTTTAATGGCAGCCATGCAAATACAGAAATCAGAACCATAATTTTTATAATATCAAAAAATAATTGCTTAATCCATACAAAAAGATTATTTCTAAATACATCAAGGGAATAAAAGTGAATGAAATAATGTGTATAAAATCATTAAAAAAAAAATGACATGCACGACATAATACTCACTCGATGTAAATTCTCTCTTGAATACAGAGATATTAATTTTGATTTTTTTTTAATGATTGAGTTGTGAGTTGATCTACCCGATAATCTAAGTTTGATTGGATCAACTGCTACTTGTTTTTTCTTGAAACCCAATCCGGACCAGATTTAATAACACTGCTTAAAAGTAACTAGATTGATCTTGCAATAGCTGAAGCCGTGCCAATACTTTTGCAACTGTGGGTTTCAATCTTGGATGGCCATTTTGTGCAAGATCGATGAGGACAGCTTGAGCAGATTCTCCATATTGTGATCTGTGTTCTTCAATGCTAAAAATTCTCTCTAATATCCATAGTGCTTTTTCTTGAGCCTTTACAGTTCCTGATTCCAACACTCTTATTATGGCTTGGACAGCAGACGTTTTGGCCATGTAGAGGCTTCCACTCTCCCAGATTTCATCTTGCAAGAGAGTTGCGAGGGCGTTGAGGACAGCTTCATCAGCTTCCCTCTCTTCATCTTCCAATATTTGGATCAGTGGAGGGACAGCACCGGCCTTGACCAAACAAAATGTGCTTTTAACGACACAATAGCCATCATGGACTTGGCAGAAAGTGTCTGCGGAAGGAGGCATACATGTCCACCGTGATTTTCTGGACTTTCGAAGAGCTACTGAGTTCTGCGATAGTTGGGCGAGTGAGATTGCTGCTCTACACTTGGCTACTGATGATTCACTTGCTAGCAGCTTCAAAAGGATAGGAATCACCCCTAGTTCTGCTGAAAGAAGCTGCAATTTCTTATCAGAAGGAATGGTAAAGCGAATAAGTACGCCTGCAATGCTCTCTTCTAACCATGTTTTTGTTGATGTTGATGTTGATGCACCTGAACTCATTAGAGAGATCAGAATGGGCAGAAAATGTAACTTTTTCAGTACTTCTGTTGATTTTTTATTGCTAACAGGAAGATTGCTTACTATGCCGATTGCGGCAGCTTTTTCACTCTCACATGTTGATGATGAGATGATATTCACTATGTTGATAAGATAGGATTCTCCAAGCTGTTCCATGAACTCTTCTGGTGAATCTTTAGAAAGGGTGTAAAGCAAATTTAATGCAGCACTTCTGATTTTGATGTTGCTTTCTGTCAGAAAGGGTAAAAGAAGCTGGACTGCACAATTTTCCTTCATTTTTCTTCTTACTTTGGATGCACTAGAGTGGGATGCGATACTATTTAGAGCTTGCAAAAGATTATACTGAATCGCTGGACTGGAAAGATTCAAAAGCGAGAGCATCTGCTGGGCCACGTCTTGTTTAACCAGAATATTTTCTGATTGAGCAATCTTTGCAAGTATTGCAGAAGCTGGCTCCCTGAGTGTCATAAGGACAGATGTCACGGAGAACAGTAGCTGGAGCAGGGGTGATACAATACCTGAACTGATCAAACGTTTTATATTTTCTGTCAAGTTCGACAAATTTTGTAATGCATTTAAAGCAGATAACTTGGCTTCAAGTTTTCCAGATTTAAACATCTTGACAAGGGGTTCAACTGCCCCATCTTCACCAAGGGAGGCTCTGCACTGATCTGTGAGCTCCATCCTTGAAACTGCTGTTGCCATGAGGATCTTGCTCATATCAGAGCCTATATATATATATAAAAAAAGATGATTATATTTAGACAACAAGGGGCTTGAAAGGTATAAAAAATTGGTAGAAATCAAGCTCAGACTTGATATCGATTTTCAATTGAGAATTCACACAACTCGCAAAAATCCCAAATGCCTTTTCACTCAAAAGGCACATCGAACAACATCAAATACATCCACAGTTCTGAACACGAAAACTATGCTACAGAACATGCATTAAGCGAGAGGAAGCTTTAATATTACCTTCATTCAGGCAATGAACTAGAGGTTTGAAGTAACCAGCCTCAGCCATATGAAGCACATTTTGAGTATTGCTTGACAGTGCAATCAACAACTTTGCTGCATCACGAGAAGCAGTTGGATCATCCCCATTAAGCATGGTGACTAACATAACAATACATCCTTGAATTCTTCCAATTCGTCGCCTAACTGCAGAAATATCTGAGAGTTCTGACAACAGTCCTACAGCTTCCCTCCCTTCATCGGCATCACGCGCCAAAGATTTCACCAACCCTGACAAGCAGACTACATCTGTCATTTTCTCCTGCAGATTACCGGACAACGTGAGATCGCTGCAAAGTAGAAATTCTTAAACTTGCAATCAAAATTATGTAGAAAATTTAAAACATTTCTCATATGATTCACCTTGTTTTCATCATTGTCCAAGGCGAGAATTCTCAGTATCTGGATGATAGTTAACCTGTTGTGAGGCTTGCTCGAGCCTAGCCGATTAAACAGAATTGGAATAATATCTTCTTCATGGATCCACTCTTTATCAATTACCTGATCCCTAATAAAATCACTTAAGACCAAAAGTGCAAGCCTGAATTCTTCATCATTACCGTACTTGAGTTGTAACACTACATCATCAATGCTAAGACTAATCTTTTCCTCCTCAATTTCATTAATAAAAGCGCCCTGCTCACTTACGAACCCGGATTCTTTGCTTGGTCTTGGACCATGAATTACACGAGGGCTTGAGCCGAGACTTGGACTTGGACTTGGACTTGGTGTAAAACTGATATCAAACTTCACATTCATCAATTCTCTGTGCAATGCTGCAATATCTTGTTTAACTTCTGTGGATGCATCAATGCTTGCAAAAAGCACAAGGCCTAATGATCTCCCAAGTTCTCGAGTAACAACCTCAATTTGCTTAATGGGTGATCTTGAACAAGCTCCTTCAATTAATTTATTAGCTCGAGTAAGCTCTTTCTCTATGGATTCAACTCCCTTGTTGACTGGCGGTCTGTCCATGAGTTTCTCATTATCCTTTATTGCTACAAGAACCGGTGTGAACTTGTCTAGTAGAACTGCAAATTCAGTAAATATTTCTCTATCGAATTCTGAGTTCTTAGCAAGTGATAGCACCTCTTCTGTTGAGGCATGTTGCTCTGATTCAATCTCAGAAATGCTTCTGCTATCAGGATTTTCCATTTCTTTCTTGTATCAGGTATGTGGAGAGAGAGTATTTAAGGTTTGTAACTATAGAAGTGACCAACCAAAACTCAAGAAATCTACAGAATTTGACAGAGGAAGTGTGTAGGTACTAAGAAATCAAAAGAACTGAACAGAAACTGAGCCTGAAAATAACAAGACACACACACACACACACACACGTGGTTGTCTATATATTTACACACACAAACACGTACACAGCTAGTCTTATGTACTAGAACAAGAATTCAAAAGCAAGAAAATTCAGAATCCAGAGGTAAAAGAAACGAATAAGACTATGAACCTGAAGAAGAGAATCAAGAACTGGGAAGACTGACTGAAAATTCCACAAAAGAAGTTTCCTCCTCCATGGTTAAATTCTTCTTGGACGGGATCTACAAGTAATATACATTAACAAAGACCGAGGACCTGGAACACAAGTGCTTCTTGGTTTCAGCTACTTGTCGTGTTCCTTTACATTTTGGACAACCGTCGAAAATATCTAGTTGGTGAGTGTGAAGGGATTGGAGATTAATTTCTTGTTTGGAGTGTTGTGGAGAAGGGCATCTAAAGGGTCGGTGTCAAGGGTTCTGACTTCTTCCCTGATGCGTAAAAGGCCGCTGCTGTTTCCGGTAAGTTTCTTTTTTCTTTTTTCTTTTTTTCCTGGTAAAATTTAATGAGGTTAGAGAAGACTAAGTCAACTGAGAAAACAACAACACAGTTTCCGGTCTGTTTTACATTGCTTGTCTCGAAATTGCATTTAAAAGCTCCAAAGATTTCCTTCATGGCTGCCCTGCCATCCCTTTGTTCTTCTCTTTATCCACTTTTGCCTCTGTGGGATCCAGGTCAAGCCACTCCCTTACAGTTGAGGTTGCCTATGGAGAGCATCGTCGTCAGAATTGACCCAGGCTGAGGCTCGGTGATGGACTGGTCACGTTAACCCATGTGTCATAAGATCATATCCTAAAACGAGTTATTTTGTTTTTGTTTTAAATTAAAAAAATATGTCATCATTCGTGTAAAAAGTTAAAAATATAAAATAATATCTTTTTGAATAATAATAATTAAAAAAAAAACTTGTAGTTGATCAAATCATATTTAACTTAAATTTTATCAAATCAATTAAGTGAAAAATTAAACAATTAAACTATCTAAATTTGATTACATCAACTTTTTACTTTTAAAAATAAATCTTTAAAAGTAAAAATTAATGCATTTGTTACAATACTAATCAAAATTTTGGGTTAATTAATAAATAAGTTTTTCATTTTCTTTAATCCATTACATCATGCTACGATGACAATTTAATTTTGTATAGCTTTCTACCCACTCAAATACCTTTGAAGGCATTATGGAAAAGTAAATATACTCCTTACATATTATCAAATATTCAATTTCACATAAAAAAAATAATTTTTTTACAAATATATATTTTTAGTGTGAGTGAAATGTTTAAAAGTTCAAATAAATAAAAATATACTTATTTTAAAGTTTATATACTCCTTATATATTTTATGATGGCAAAAAGAAAGAAAAACTTACTAGTTAGTAATTTATTTATTTTTTATTTGTATATTTTAAATTATTTTAAAAAAACATATTTTTATTAAATTTTATTATTGTAGATGATAGTTTACAAACATGACATATATTATAAAAACATGTAATTTAAAATTAAAAAAAATGAGGGACGAAAACTTAGGCAGAGAAGCCTGAATTTTATTTAAAAAATAGTTTAAGATATTAAAAAATCCAAAGGTTAAGTTTAATATAACCCAAAACTCAGAAAAGTTTTGAGTCATTTAAATATAATAAAAAAAGTAGAAAAATATGTAGCTTTTTATAAGGATTATTTTAATATAAACGGACGAGCATCACAGCTGGAGCACGCGTGATCTCTCGCCCACCAATTTTAACTTCTTAAGCCACCTCAATTTCTTGGGTCATTACGGCCTATCTAGAAATTATTCTGGGCCTCATCGTCCACTTTGTAGAGTTTATGTGGGCTATCTTGCCAGATCAATTGAGCCCAAACATGTTTTTTAGCCCATCAGCATTAAATGGCATCGAATAAAAAAAGAGAGTAAAGAAAATGAATAAATCTTAGAGTTAATTATAATTTAGTCCCTAAGTTTACCCAAGATAATTTATTCGTACTTCTAGTTTTATAAATTATTATTTAAAAATTACTCTTCCCTATTCATTTATAACTTCATTCTTTTCACCCATTTTATATTCTTTTCCATTTCATTTTATTTTTTTAATTTTAAGAAATAAAAAAATAGATAGGATGAAAATTTTGACTAGAAAAAAAAAAAAATTTTGATTTAAAATGATATAAAATTAAACACCATCAATCAAATCGAATTAAAAAATTTAGTCAAAAAATCATTTTATATTTTTTTAAAAATTATCAAAGTTGATTTTAACTAATTTAATTAGTTAATTAAGTCGATAAAAATCTAAAACCTAACAAGTTTTTTTTGTTTTGTGTATTCAATTTAAAACTCAGAATCAGGTTCCTAAATATAAGTTTCTTAAATCACCCTACTAAGCTAAACAAAATTTAATACACATGGTTTTATCTTATAATATTTTCTTTTAGGTTTTTTCTCATAATAATTCCAAACTTAACACAAAATCTCAAAACTAATAAAATTCATGCAAGCTAAGGCGGTTGCGCACGCTCATCCCATCTACTTTGCCTCCTTTACATGCATCCATGCCACGTACAACCCAAACCTGGCCCTCTTTCCTCTCTCCCCATCCCTTCCTTAAAAACCACTCTGGCCATAGGTAGTGAGTCTGAATCTGAGTGATCAAAATGAATCCAGAAAGTCTTACTGCATCGGCAGCCATTAACTTTGGCTTGGCATTCATAGTTCTCTCCCTCTTCTCCATTTTCAAGAAACAACCTTCTAATGCCTCCATTTACTACGCCCGTCGCCTCTCCAAACGACACAATGTTCACTTTGAGCAGTCTTTCCCTCTTTCCCGCTTTCTCCCTTCAGTTGCTTGGATTCCTCGTGCTTTTCGAGTCACTGAAGATGAAGTTCTTGATATTGGAGGCCTTGATGCTCTCATCATTATCAGACTCTTCAAATTTGGGTTAGTTTTCTTCTTTTGTGCTCTTGTGTTTTAAACTTTGCCCATGAACTCCAGTCTTAATGTTTCTTGGACTCGAGTATGTCCTTGACAAATTTGAAAATTTTTGTTCTTGAATAGGCATGAGAAGTAATTAGAAAGTGATGGGAAAATTTTCAGTACTTTCTTGACAGAATCAAGATAAGAAAGCTTGGAAAAATTCTGATTTATGTTAAATAAACTACACAGGAAAGATTTTAGAGCAATCTTTCGATCTCATGGAGCACCATTTTACATTTATTTATTTTGGTTTTTATGCATATTATCATATTGGAATGAATTCTGAAGTTTTTGTTTTCCAAGAATGAGGATCTATTTCTTGAATATGCTCTTGAAAATTACTCATCTTATGGTTTGCTTTGCAGGATATATTTCTTTGGAATTTGTTCTCTTATTGGATTAGTGGTACTTGTGCCAATCAATTTCGGTGACCAAGATGAACAATCTAGCATCTACCATTCCATGGATCCTTTCACAATATCAAATATTAGTGCAGGTTCGAACAGGTTGGGTTTCCCATCTTGCTTATGGTTGTTCAGGTTTGAGAGGATAGAATATTTTGCTACTTTGCATATTGTCTGTCTAAAACTCGAAGTCTGTCTAAGCAACTATTAGTTTGTATACAAACTGCTGTTTCTGCAGGGGAAAAAAGAAAGAAAGAAACCTGTCATTTTGCAAATTCAATGAACTTCTTTCACCAAGCTGAATTCTAAAACTGTTACGTTTTTTACGACTTAGATATGAAGCATTCATGTATGCATACAAGATACTTGATGTTCATGTCTACATTGTTACTGGTTACATGTGTTTGAATATGAATAGCAGTACTGGCATTTTGTGTTAGGCTTATCTTCCAATTGACTGCTTTATAGCTCACATACTCAATTGATTTACCAAGTTTTCTTCATTCCACAGGCTTTGGGTGCATTTTACGTGCTTGTGGTTGATATCATTTTATGGATTATATCTGTTGTACAAGGTTAGTTTTTCGGTTTATGTATTCACAAATGTAGAATACTACTTTTTTAAAATCCACTTACTGCATGTTATTGTTTATTATCAACAGAACTATATCCACGTTGTAATGGTGGATCGATCATTGCGATAATAACGTTGCTTCTTGGTCTTTTACATTCAAGATAAGTTGAAATTTGAGGTGTTTTCCTACATCATTTCATCTTCAGGAATATGACGGAATTTCGGTTAAACGGATCCAACTACTTCGGAACCTAAGGCATCAACCTGATCGGTTTAATGTTCTTGTTCGGCAAATGCCCTTCTGCAATGAACACAAAGCTTATGGGTGCTCTGTTGATCACTTCTTCTCTAAACATCATCCTAACAGTTACTGTTCTTATCAGATGATATATGATGGAAAAGATATCGAAGATCTGTTGGTAAGGTTTGAACAACTTGGAATTTCGTACACTAATGCGTTGGCTCTATTTCATTCTCATTCTCGGCAGTTTAGCTGCTCTATGTTATTATATATGCTTTGTATGATAATCAAAGATATTATATGCCTTAGACTGTCACGATATAGTTCTTGTAAAAAATACATTACTATGGAAACATGATATCCTTTGAGGTTTGCCTGACACTTGATATTAGATGTCAAGCTCTGGTAGCTCAGGGGAGTTTCTATTTTTTCTGCCCCCTATGGCATTTATGCAACTGAAACTATGAATTTAGGATGAGGTATGCAATGCGCAAAAAAAATTTCAGAATGGGATTCGTAGATAACTACTGTTTCGTAGATTTGCGGAACTACAATGAAATGTAAAGCATGAACGTTCTTCCTACGTGGTAGAATGTTTCTAAATTTCTCTCAAAGTTTGCCATAGAAGGTATTGAAAAGTGACCAACGTTATGCACTATCAATAACATTTTCATCAACCCATGCTTTTAATGATTTAAGTTCTTTCAAGTGAGCATGCTCGTTATTGCACGCTGAAAGATTTTTAGTTGTCTTTGCTTATTATAAGACATTCTTCATCTCAATTCTGCTTGGTTCCTCTGATTTTGTTGTATGCAGCACCAAGCAAAATATGTTGCGAGAAAGATAGAGGACCTGAGAGGAAAGCTCACAGTTAAGAAACGCGACAAGGAAAGCTTACTCTTAGATGTATCTCAAGAAGATGATGTGAAAATAGCTTTGTTTGAGGAAAAGCAGCAAAAAATTGTTCATAAGATTCGTCAATTACAGAACGAAAGTATGCTGAAAGGAAAGGTAACTTCAGAGAAATTTACATGGATGCTTGTATCAAGTTTGAAGTTGGAATATGTTTCATCTGTCAAGTATTAACTGTGGGGACTTCTAGAAGCTCAATTTATAATGGTATTCGAAACAGCCATGCAGATACATGCCTTGTTTTTGCCTTGCATTATACTTTGCATCTTTAACAACGATGTATCATAAATGCGATTCATGAAAAGTTTACATGCTTCATGTCTCACATTTGGTTATTAGTTAACCATTAAAACTTGAGCTGTTTTCATTTTTCTAGGAGTTGCCTGTTGCCTTTGTTACATTCAAGTCCCGACGTGGTGCAGCATTAGTTTCCCAAACTCAACAGCACTACCATCCACTCATATGGATCACGGAAATGGCTCCAGAACCAAGGGATGTATCATGGAGGAGTCTGGAAATTCCCTTTAAGTTTTTGCCACTTTGCAAGATCGGGGTCGTTGTTGCAGCATCTCTCCTCACAATTTTCTTTGCAGTCCCAGTTACAGCTGTTCAAGGAATCGCTAAACTAGAGAAACTTAAGAAATGGTTCCCCCCAGCCATGGCTATGGAGCTAATGTGAGGATTCCAATTCCAATTCCAATTTTGTTTTTTTGGCATTTATGCTTTAAGAAATATTTAGTTTTCGCATCTATTATAAACTTTAAGCAATCACTTAACAGAATACTAATCGAATGTTTGAACTCTTTCTCAGAGTTCTGTATAACTCTCTGACATATTGTTCTTGTTCTGCAATAGACCAGGATTAAGCTCCATTATTACAGGGTATCTTCCAAGTGCCATTCTCAAAGGCTTTATATATGTTGTTCCCTTTGCAATGCTTGGCATGGCTAAATTAGGCGGTTCGATTTCAAAGAGCAAGGAGGAGATTAAAACTTGCAATATGGTTTTCTACTTTCTCGTGGGAAATGTTTTCTTTTTGAGCTTGATATCAGGATCCCTACTTGATGAACTTGGAGAATATTTGACCCACCCTAGGACTATTCCTAGTCATCTTGCCAGTGCTGTCTCTTCTCAAGTAAGCTAGGTTGCCTTAATCTAATTAGTTGGTGTATTATTTGATGCTTTTACTTGAGTTTATATGCTATGTACCACAATTCTCTTTTTCCCTGGCATATGATGCAAACAATTCTTAGCTAATATGAATTTATGAACTTGCAGGCTCCGCTTGACTGCTAATCTGTTCTTTTTCCAGGCTGATTTTTTCGTGACATACATCTTAACAGATGGGTTGTCAGGATTTTCTTTGGAAATCCTTCAGCCCGGCTTGCTTGTTTGGGATGCTGTGAAATCACACACAGTTGGCGGATCAGGAGACGAGGAAAATCCTTACCTTTATTCATTGCCCTATTTTAGAATCATCCCTTCAGTCTCCCTATCAATACTAATTGGTATGGTATATGCAGTTGTCGCTCCTTTGCTGCTTCCATTTCTTGTTGGCTACTTCTATCTAGGCTACGTTGTATATGTCAACCAGGTTAAGTTTCTGCGCTAGTTTTATTTCCCTTCAGCAATGTTAATTCCCCAACCATGTTAAATGTCCTTTCCTATGATTTCTTTCCTTGCCTTTGTATAGTCGTTTCGCTTGCTTATCAAGGATTTTTGTCAACATGGTTAGCAGATTGAAGATGTTTACGAAACTGCTTATGATACATGCGGACAGTATTGGCCATACGTTCATCATTATATATTCGTCGGAATCGTTCTTATGCAAATCACCATGATTGGTCTTTTTGGGCTGAAGTCAAAACCTTCTGCTTCCATAGCCACAATTCCACTCTTACTGCTTACTATAATGTTCAATGAGTACTGCAAGATACGTTTTCTTCCTACATTTCACCACTATTCTGTTAAGGTATGTATTTGTTCTCTTAATGTTTCCTACATCATTATACTGGCTGTATACTGCAGTTGTTTAAAATCCATTCTCGCATTTCTCTTTGCTTCAGTTGAAAAACAAGTTTAAGTTAAAAGCTTGAGTGAGTGAGTCTTCAAAGAAATTTTATATTATTTTTTAAACTTGTATAATCATTATTTTATGTTTAATTTTATTAGATAAAATAAAAATACTGAGTTAAAAACTCCTAATTATTTGGATCTGATATCACATTAAAAAATTAATTCAATAAAAAAACTTAAACTATTCCGAAAAGTTTCAAAAATAGTTTTATATTCCTTTCTAACACTTCTAAGCATACTTGGACTATATGGTTTTCGATGTCAAATTACATTTTTCCTCAATGGCATTTGTCCAATCGGTTGGCTAACATGTCTGGCAGAGGAAGTGGTGTTCGGAGCCAAATAAAATTGAAATGATATGGATTCAAATTGTTTAGGCATAATTTGATTTTGTTATTACATAATGGAGTAGCTTTCCAACTAAGCTATATATGCTGAATCTTATTGACAACGTCAATACTTTGTCTTTTTATGTTCAGGATGCGGTTGAACATGATGAACTAGATAGGAAGTTCGGTAAGATGGAAATAAATTGTGAGAATGCCAGAAGTGCATATTGTCAGCCCACTTTACAATCAGCAAACTTCCTGGCATCAAAGTCTACTTCCTCGCAGCCATTGGTTTCTTCATTGTGATATCTTAACATTGCAATTCATTTTCTTCCTCTCTCTTGTACTTTCGAGTACATTCACCTGAGTTTTCCGAAAAATTATTACGCTTATTTACACTTTGGCTCACATTTTTGTAGTGAGATTCGAATTTCTCCTCTCTTCTTGGTCAGCAAGTCAACCTAAATAAATTTTCAAAAAAAAATAAAATTGAAACAACATTCTTTTGAATAAAAACAAATTGATTGGTCGAGTCTCAGTTTGTTTGGCTCATTATAAGAAACTCCTTTGTTTAGTGCTAATGATTCCTTCTAACTCATGTTCTTTATGAGGTTTGCTGAGTTTAGTGTAGAGGTGGGGTGTGAGTGTTAATGAAAGAGTTCTTGAGGTACGCCCCAAGTGTTTGCGTTTAACGAAGAACATGAACGGAGTAATAGCAAGATGGAGTCTTTTCCTTTAAAAAGCTGACCAGATGTTCAGACGTTCAGTCAATAGTCTAGGGTTGGACCATGGACCTGCTGATCCAGCTCCTAAGCCGAGTCAAGGGCCACCCCATTTTGGTTATTCCTGGAAGATAGGCATTAGCCGTGGCGTTGAAGCTTAAAACATGGCTGAGTTGAACCCAAACCGAATGCCTTTTGAAATATGGAAAACGCGACTTGATCATAAAATGATAAGCTCCTTGCAAACGAAATCTCTTAAATTATTATTCAATGTATTTGGTTTTGAACTGGCATATTGACTTTGCAAGGAGTCTTTTCTAATCAAGTTTATGCATCAATCGAAACTAAATACTTTTTTAAAATGATCTTACAGTATTATACTTTTACATTTGTCCAGTGTATAATAAATTATCTTAGATATTCACTCCGAAGTTCCAGCTCATAAATCCAGGCAAGAAACCAACACAAAGTCAAAACCTTTTTAACCAAATGAACTGCATGGATAATATTTAAAGTCCATAGGGATCCGACATGGAAATTAGCGGAAGAAAACACGCTTTCTGGTTTAATAATAGTAAATAAAAAGAAACTAGAAGGCAGTTTCTTGGTTTGTCAAGCAAAGTTAATCCTAATCTCTCTTCTTCTTGTTCATTTTCTCTATCACCATTTCCTGCTTTGATTCTCTCTGCACCCGTTTTGCAAACAGTACTACGTGCAGATCAAACCATGGCTGCTGCTTTGGTAGGTGGAGCTTTTCTTTCGGCTTCCCTCCAGGTTTTGTTTGATAGATTGGCTTCTCGCCAGGTTGTTGACTTCTTTAAATGCCAAAAACTAAATGATAGGCTGCTGAAGAAGTTGAAGATACTGATGATTACTGTTAATAAGGTGCTCAATGATGCTGAAAAGAAGCAGATCAGTGACTCGTTTGTAAAAGAGTGGCTTGACGAGCTCAAAGATGCTGTTTATGAAGCAGAGGACTTCTTGGATGAGGTTGCTTATGAAGGCTTGAGACTGGATGTTGAAGCTGGCTCTCAAACCAGCACTTATCAGGTTAGAGGCTTTTTATCTTCTCGTAAAACAGTCCAGGAAGAGAAGGAAGAGATGGGAGCTAAGTTAGAGGAGATTCTTGAGCTGCTTGAATATTTAGTACAGCAAAAGGATGCTCTTGGACTGAAAGAGGGTATCGGAGAACAACCCTTCTCATACAAAATACCAACAACTTCTCTGGTGGATGGATCTGGGGTTTTTGGTAGGCATGATGATAAGGAAGCCATAATGAAGTTGATGTTATCTGAAGATGCCAAGCTAGATGTGATTCCTATAGTGGGTATGGGTGGGGTTGGTAAAACCACTCTTGCTCAGCTTATCTACAATGATAGCAGAGTTCAAGAGCGGTCTGATCTGAAGGTATGGGTCTCTGTTTCGGAGGAATTTGATGTTTTCAAGTTAATCAAAGATATGCTTCAAGAGGTCGGTTCACTGAATTGTGATAACATGACTTCAGATCAGCTTCACAATGAGGTAGAGAAGAGAACAGCAGGGAAAACAGTGCTGATTGTTTTAGATGATGTTTGGTGTGAGAATCAAGATCAGTGGGATTCTTTATTGACACCTTTAAAGTCTGTGAGACAAGGGAGTAAGATCGTCGTTACAACGCGCAATGATAGTGTAGCATCGGTCAAGTCAACTGTTCCAACACATCATCTGCAGAAATTAACTGAAGACGACTGCTGGTTGGTTTTTGCAAAACAGGCATTTGATGATGGAAGTTCTGGTGCATGTCCAGACTTGGAAGAAATTGGCAGAGGAATTGTAAGAAAGTGCAATGGCCTACCTTTAGCTGCAAAAGCTCTTGGGGGTCTCCTACGCTCCAAAAGAGACGCAAAAGATTGGAAGAAAGTGTTGAAGAGTGACATGTGGACTTTGCCGAAAGATCCGATTCTTCCAGCTTTAAGACTGAGCTACTATTACCTTCCTGCCCCACTGAAGCAATGCTTTGCGTATTGTGCGCTATTTCCCAAAGATTATAGATTCAACAAGGATGATTTAGTACGTTTGTGGATGGCAGAGGGTTTTCTTGTCCCACTCTAAGGAGATGAGGAGATTGAAGATGTAGGTGGCGAGTGCTTTGATGATCTTGTTTCCAGGTCATTTTTTCAACGATATTCTAGTGACAATCTATCATTGTTTATTATGCACGACCTCATTAATGATTTGGCCAACTCTGTGGCGGGGGAGTTTTGCTTCCTGTTGGAGGATGATGATTCAAACAAGATTGCAGCTAAGGCTCGTCATTTCTCATATGTACCAAAGTCATTTGATTCCCTTAAAAAATTCGTAGGAATCCATGGAGCTGAACATTTGCGCACTTTTCTACCGTTGCCAAAGCAGTGGGAAGACAACCGGTTTGAAGATGGCCTAACACGTTATTTATTACCTAGACTTGGACGATTACGAGTGCTATCCTTGTCTCGCTATTCTAGCGTAGCTGAGTTGTCTAGTTCAATGGGAATGTTAAAGCATCTGCGATATCTGAACCTTTGGGGAACATCAATAGAAGAGTTCCCTGAAGTTGTGAGTGCTGCGTACAATTTGCAAACGCTAATCTTGGAAGATTGCAAAGGGGTTGCTGAATTGCCTAATTCAATTGGCAATCTGAAGCAATTACGATATGTGAATCTCAAGAAAACAGCAATCAAACTGTTACCTGCATCTGTGAGTTGTTTGTATAATCTGCAAACATTGATCTTGGAAGATTGTGAAGAGCTTTTTGAGTTGCCTGATTCAATAGGAAATTTGAAATGCTTACGACATGTGAATCTTACGAAAACAGCAATTGAAAGGTTACCTGCATCCATGAGTGGATTGTATAACTTACGAACTTTAATCTTGAAGCAATGCAAGAAACTTACGGAGTTGCCAGCTGATATGGCAAGCTTAATCAACTTGCAAAACCTTGATATTTTAGGAACAAAGCTGTCGAAGATGCCTTCACAGATGGATAGATTGACAGAGCTCCAAACACTGAGTGATTTTTTTCTGGGAAGACAGAGTGGTTCTAGCATTATAGAGTTGGGCAAGTTTCAACATCTACAAGGGGGAGTAACGATTTGGGGTCTTCAAAATGTTGTGGACGCTCAAGATGCTTTGGAAGCCAATTTGAAGGGTATGAAACAGGTTAAAGTGTTCGAGTTGAGATGGGATGGCGATGTTGATGACTCGCAGCACCAAAGAGACGTTCTTGATAAATTACAGCCCTATACAGGTGTGACTAGTCTTTATGTTGGTGGTTATGGAGGTACAAGGTTTCCAGATTGGATAGCAGACATTTCTTTCTCAAATATAGTAGTGTTGGATCTCTTCAAATGTGCATATTGCACCTCTTTACCTCCACTTGGACAGTTAGTGTCACGGGGGTTAAATTTTTGGCAACACAATTCAACTCAATGCGGCAATCTAGTCCCAACTAAACTCAGCCTTACCTCCCCTTTTCACTCGTGTTTCCCTACGACTATGTGTTTCGCTCACCCAACGAAGTTCCCACAATTTCCAAGTCGTATAAAAGGAACAAACACAAGCAAGCACACAAGTTTACAAGAATACCTCTCAACCTTTATTTATCTCATCAACAAAGGATTACACAATACAAGTGTGTGTGCTATGCACAAAATCGCATGCTACACAGCAGAGGCTTGGCAGCCTATTTATAGACAAGTGTGAGTTGCTAGGCTCACCCATAATCCCTATTTTTCAGGCCATAATGGGGCACTTACTCCCCATGATCTCCATGATCTCTCATTTTCGGGGCATAGTGGAGCACTTGCTCTCCCATTAACTTAGTGGCTTACATAGTGGAGCACTTCCTTCCCCACTCAGCTGCCACTTCCCCACATTCTGCCCCAATGATACAGCCATATTCTGCCTATCCGCATGGCAGTCCCTACTGCCTATTCTGCTGCGTCAGCTGCTGACTTAGAAGGTCCATCACCTAAGCTCCCATGTCCATGCCAAGTCGCAAGCTCAACGACTCGCATAGACCATTGCACGCTGCCTGCCGAATTCGTTTCTACTTACGCAAGGCTGCCGCTGTCCATCGCTGCCGAATTCTAGGCAATGTGCCTTCGTTGGCGCATCCCCGCGTCTAGAGCCTTAACAAACCACCCCCACTAGAAGAGTCTGACGTCCTCGTCGGAATAGATGTGAGGTAGTTTTGCACTTGATCCTCAAATTGCCACAAATTTGTGTCCTTCTCCCACGAAACCTCTTCATTCGTCTTCCATTTCACTAAGAATTCTGTCCGCCGATTCTTTTTGTGTTGGCCAAGTCGACGATGATCCATAATCTTGACGATACCATCGTCAAATTGCTTGTGAATCGTAGGAGGGGCTCGTTGCGACTTACTTCTTTTAGGATCCTCATTGTCTTCATAAAATGGCCGTAAGTAACTTACATGAAAAGTGGGATGAAGCTTCAGCCGTTCGGGCAGCTTCAATCTATAGGCAACAGCCCCAACCTTTTCAATGACTTCAAAAGGTCCATCATATCTTGGCACCAACCCTCGGTGCTTCGACGTCCCCACAATTTTCTTCCAAATTTGAGGAGTTAACTTGAGCAACACCTTGTCACCCACACTGAATTCCAGCATCCTTCGCTTTTGATTTGCATATTTGAGCATCCGCTTTCTTGCCTTCCGCAAACTATCTTGAGCTTGCTCAACTAGCTCCTGTCACTCCATCGCAAATCTGTATGCCGCTGGACTCTTCCCACCAGATATCTGCACTGCAATCTCGGCAGGAGTTTGGGGTTGTGCCCCAAAAACTAGCTCAAATGGACTTGCTTCCGTTGCCGAGGATTTTTGAAGATTATAGCAAAACTGCGCACTATCTAGCAACTCCAACCAGTTTCGCTGCATTGCTGTCACGTAGTGTCTCAAATATTCCTCTAGCAAAGCATTTATCCTTTCCGTTTGCCCATTAGTCTGCGGATGGTTGGCAGTCGAAAACTTCAGCCTTGTTCCCATCATGTTGAACAATGCTGTCCAGAATCTACCCGTGAATCGCACATCGCGATCGCTTACAATGTCTGAGGGTACTCCAAAGTATTTCACCACGTTGCGGTAGAATAAATCAGCGGCCACTTCGGCTGTACACACCACAGGGGCAGCTACAAACACCGCATACTTGGTGAATCTGTCCACGATAACCATGATCGTGTTCATGCCATCCACCTTTGGAAAGCCAACAATGAAGTCCATCGAAACTGACACCCAAGGCTTCTCTGGAATCGGCAGTGGCTGTAATAAGCCTGCTTCTCGCTGCCGCAAAGTCTTGTCTTATTGGCACACAAGACAAGTCCTGACGTAAAGTTCTACATCGTCTTCCATCTTCGACCAATAATAAGTCTGCGACAAGAGAGCAACCATCCTTTCTCTACCTGGATGTCCTGCCCATTGCGGATCATGAGTCTCCGTCATTAAGTGTTTTCGCAGCTCCCCCTTTGGCACAAAGATTCGACCCCCCTTTGCATAGAGTAAGTCTTGTTCCAGCCAATACCTCCGTATTGTCCCTTCTCGTACAAGCTCAACCATTTTCTTGTACGCTGCATCTTCCCCAGCAGCTAGACGAAGTCGTCCCAGCATGTCCGACTCCACCTGAACAATAGCAAGAACAGTAGCAATTACTTCGCGTCTGCTGAGTGCATCCGCAACCTGATTATGGCTCCCCGGTTTGTGCTCCCATACAAAGTCATATTCGGCCAAGAATTCCTGCCACCGAGCCTGTCTCTGTGACAATTTCTTCTGTGTCCTGAAAAATATGTTCGCCACATTATCAGTCTTGACCACAAATTTTGACCCCAACAGATATACTCTCCATATGCCTAGGCAGTGCACCACTGCCGTCATCTCTTTCTCATGCGTCGAGTAATTTTGTTCCGCATCAGTTAGCTTCCGACTCTCAAAAGCAACTGGATGTCCCTCTTGTACTAGCACTCCCCCAATGGCCCTATCTGAAGCATCCGTATGCACTTCAAATGGCTTCTCAAAATCAAGCAGCCCCAAAACTAGAGCTGACGCTACCGCTGTTTTCAGCTTCTCAAAAGCTAGTTGGCAGTCAATCGTCCATTCCCAACTCCGATTCTTCTTCAGAAGATCCGAGAGAGGAGTTGTTTTCTTGCTATAGCCCTCAATGAATCGTCTGTATTAGTTTGCAAGCCCCAAAAATGACCTCAATTCCGGGACTAATTTTGGTGCTGTCCATTCAACGATGGCTTGAATCTTCCGTGGATCCATCTTCACCTGTCCTTCGCCAATTAAATGGCCTAAGAACATAATTTCATCTTTTGCAAACTCACACTTTTCCTTCTTTACATACAATTCATGTTCTCTTAATCTACTTAAGACTTTAGAGAGATGAGTTACATGTTCTTCAATGCTTCTACTATAGATTACAATGTCATCTAAGTAGACTACAACAAAATTATCTAAGAAATCATATAGCACATCATTCATCAGATTACAAAATGTTGCTGGAGCATTTGTTAGGCCAAATGGCATAACTAGAAACTCGTATGAGCCATACCTCGTCACACAAGTAGTTTTATGCTCATCCCCATCAGCAACCCGCACTTGCCAATACCCCGATCGCAAGTCCAATTTCGTGAAGATAGAGGCTCCGCACAATCTATCCATCAAATCCTGAATTAAAGGGACAGGATATTTGTTTTTTATTGTTACCTTATTGAGTGCTCGGTAGTCCAGACACATGCGAAGGCTTCCATCCGCCTTCTTTTGAAACAGCACAGGAGCACCATATGGAGCCTTGGAAGGGCGGATAAATCCCGAGTCAATCAGCTCTTCCAATTGTTTCCTCAGTTCTGCCAATTCCATTGGCGACATTCGATAAGGGGCTTGAGATGGTGGCTTTGTCCCCGGCACCAACTCAATTCGATGGTCGATGTTTCTCCTAGGTGGGAGTTTCTTCGGTAGCTGAGGCGGCATCACATCTTCGAATTGCTGCAGCATGCTAGCAATTTCATTTAGCACCTCCCCACAATAGTCTGCCTTCTCATCAACTATTGTCGCAAGAAACACTTCCCCTCCTTTCCGCAATGCTTTGTCAAGAGCAATTGCCGAGACCAAGCTCTTCCCCCCTTTCACCGCTTTCACAGCTGTGATATTGCAACATGGGACGAAACATGGGCATCCCTCACTTGCAATCATGACTCCATTGAGATAGGGCATCAAAACTATCTTGGCTTTTCGTAAGAAATCTAGACCAAGAATAATATCGTAATCTTCAAGATTTACGACCAACACATCATGCTTACCTCTCCACTGATCCAGTATTATCGGCACGTCATAAGACATCCCAGCAATTCTCTGTGCCTTCGAGTTTACTGCCTTTATAGATGTATGGCTATCACTCAGCCGCAAGCCAAGTTCCTTCACCAGCCGATCTGCCACAAACGTGTGGGTTGCTCCTGAATCCAGCATAGCATTCACGTTTTTGCCGTTTATCCCAATCCTCACATACATCAGGTTGTTCGTAGCCCCTGACTTTCCCTTTCGCAGTGTATCAATCCTCACCAAGTCTTCCTCGACAGGGCAGGTTTCGGCAGCCGCATCCCCCGATTCCGCTACCAGGCAGTTTATCACACGCATGGGATTGACATGCGTAACTACCCCCTCATCCTCATCGCTACCCCCAGCCCGGATAGCATTCAACTTCTCACGCTTTGGGCATTCCCTCGCAAAGTGAGGTCCATCATAAATGAAGCAACTAAAGTTCGGTTTCGGACTCTTACCTTGTGCACCCATAAACTTGGCCTTGCCCTTCTCTGCGGCAGTAGCCTTTGATGCACCCCCACCGAATTTCTTCTTCATCTTATCCTCCTTGTTCCTTCCCTTAGCCTTGAAGGAGGCAGATGTATAGCCCTCTCTAGTAGTTGATTTGAAATCAACCAAACTGTCCGCAGCAGCAATAGCGGAGGACAGATCCTTCACATTCTGTCGTCTTAGTTCCGCTTGCGCCCAAGTTTGCAACCCAGACATGAAGTTGAACAGCCTGTCCTCCTCGGACATATTCTCGATGTCGAGAATTAAAGAACTGAAAGATTTAACATATTCGCGAACTGACCTTTCATGTTTGAGCCTTTTCAATTCCTCTCGTGCCATCCACGACGCATTGTTGGGAAGGAATTGCTCCTTTAGCTCCTGCTTGAGACGATCCCATGTCTCAATCTTTGGACGTCCAGCACTTAAGTCATCTTTGGTTCTCGTCCGCCACCAAAGTTTCGCATCACCCGTGAGATAGATCAAGGTAAGATCCACTTGTTCAGCCACGCCGATCTTAGCAACACTAAAGTATTGCTCCATGTCCCATAAGAAATTCTCAAGTTCTTTGGAACTTCTTGCTCCACCAAAAGACTTCGGTTCAGGCAACTTAGGCTTAGATGTACTTACCCCAATAGGAGTGTTTCGCACTGCCCTTTTCAGAAGAGCAATCGCCTCTTCGGCAGCTTCCAATCTTTCACTTGATTCTGCCACAAGAGAAATGTACAAGCTCTCAGACCTTTCAGCGCATTCCATAGCATCCTTCAAGCGATCCATGATGGAACGTTCCTCGTCTTCTTCCTCATTCAACCCTATCAAGGTTTCAAGACGCATCAACCGTTCCCGAATAGCTTCCATGACTTCTGCTGCACGTTAAAATCAACCGTGCTCTGATACCAATTGTCACGGGGTTAAATTTTTGGCAACACAATTCAACCCAATGCGGCAGTCTAGTCCCAACTAAACTCAGCCTTGCCTCCCCTTTTCACTCGTGTTTCCCTACGACTATGTGTTTCGCTCACCCAATGAAGTTCCCACAATTTCCAAGTCGTATAAAAGGAACAAACACAAGCAAGCACACAAGTTTACAAGAATACCTCTCAACCTTTATTTATCTCATCAACAAAGGATTACACAATACAAGTGTGTGTGCTATGCACAAAATCGCATGCTACACAGCAGAGGCTTGGCAACCTATTTATAGACAAGTGTGAGTTGCTAGGCTCACCCATAATCCCTATTTTTCAGGCCATAATGGGGCACTTACTCCCCATGATCTCCATGATCTCTCATTTTCGGGGCATAGTGGAGCACTTGCTCTCCCATTAACTTAGTGGCTTACATAGTGGAGCACTTCCTTCCCCACTCAGCTGCCACTTCCCCACATTCTGCCCCAATGATACAGCCATATTCTGCCTATCCGCATGGCAGTCCCTACTGCCTATTTTGCTGCGTCAGCTGCTGACTTAGAAGGTCCATCACCTAAGCTCCCATGTCCATGCCAAGTCGCAAGCTCAACGACTCGCATAGACCATTGCACGCTGCCTGCCGAATTCGTTTCTGCCTACGCAAGGCTGCCGCTGTCCATCGCTGCCGAATTCTAGGCAATGTGCCTTCGTTGGCGCATCCCCGCGCCTAGAGCCTTAACAGTTAGGGTCTTTAAAGGAACTATGCATCCAGGAATTTGAAGGAGTTGTGGTGGTGGGTCACGAGTTTATGGAAGCTGCACATCCATGAAGGAGCCATTTGGATCCCTCGAGATTTTAACTTTTGTTAGCATGCCACAATGGAATGAATGGATTTCTGATGAGAACATGGAAGCTTTCCCTCTTCTTCGAGAGCTTCACATATCAGGCTGCCACAGCCTAACGAAGGCATTGCCGAATCATCACCTTCCTTCTTTAACAGAACTTAACATCCTTGATTGTCAACAGCTTGGAGGCCCATTTCCTTGGTATCCAATCATTAACAGATTTTGGTTAAATGATGCTTCTCGGGATCTGCGTTTAGAGAAATTGCCTTCTGAATTGTATGAACTCGAGATTCGCAAATTGGACTCCGTAGATTCGTTGGTCAAGGAATTGGAGCTGATGGGTTGCTTATCCTCGATGTTTGAAAATATTGAAATAGATCATTTTGACCTACTCAAGTGTTTCCCGCTAGAGTTGTTCTCCAATTTAAACACTCTAAAAATCAAGAATTGTCCGAATCTGATTTCTCTTTTAGCATATGAAAAGCCTTATAACAGGTCTCTCCGTTTCTTGGAAATCCAGGGGTGTCCTAACTTAGTTTGTTTTCCCAAAGGAGGGTTATCTGCTCCGAATTTGACAAAGATCAGGTTACTTGATTGCATAAATTTAAAGGCGTTGCCTGAGCAAATGTCTTTCATTTTTTCCCTTGTGGATTTGGAACTGAAAGGACTTCCTGAACTTGAGTCATTTCCAGAAGGGGGTTTGCCACTTGATGTAGAAACACTCTGCATCCAAAGTTGCAATAAACTCATTGCAAGCCGTGCACAATGGGATTTGCTTCTTCAATGTTCTCTTTCAAAATTAATAATTGCTTACAATGAAGATGTGGAATCTTTCCCTGACGGGCTGCTGCTGCCTTTAGAACTTCGGTCCCTTGAAATCCGGTCCCTTGAAAATTTGAAATCTCTGGACTACAACGGGCTTCTACACCTCACCTGTCTTAGAGAATTGAAGATTGACACATGCCCTAATCTCCAATCCATACCTGAAAAGGGGCTCCCCTTCTCCCTTTATTCTTTTGAAATCAGTGGATGCCCTCAGCTAGAAAAAAGGTGTGAGAAGGAGAATGGGGAAGATTGGCCCAAGATTTCTCATTTCCTCAACATCAAGATTGATGGCCGCTGGATTGAACCAGAAGACTGGTAGAGTCTCTCTTCTTTCATCCATTCAACACATTGAGGGATCGCTGATCTTAATTTTATTTTCTCCCTTCGGTTTATGTTTCCTACTCAAGTGGATTAATTACTGTATGTCTAAGTTAACATTTACTATTGGCCAGCTGTGGAGGCGGACGTAGAAATGGAGTTGCTTTACATGTCTACAGGTTTGTCAGAAATATTTTGCTGCTTGTTACTTTTAATGTTCATATCATATATATCCCTGTGAATTCCTTGATTCTTATTCAAGTTTTCTCTTATTGCATCAGAGAATCATAAGTCGAGTTCACTCTAAATCCAAGTCCATGCTGCCTGGCTTCAACAGTCAGAGCAGGAAACGGGAACCTTAAGGTAGCATAGAGCATCAAAGACCGAAGCATGGTTCATATGCATCAAAGACTCGATGTCTTTTGTCAGAAGATCAATTTCCAGTTTATTGTTCATTTCTTCATATGATGCTAGTAGTTAACCCGATTTCTTTCTGACCCTTCCCTTCGAAAACAGACTCATCTATTTTTCATAGTTGTTGAGGCGGCTTCCAGGCTCTAGGGAGAGTCAGAGAGCCAAGATCTGTGCTTGGTATAAAATTCTATGGGAGTCTTCTGGTGCATATGATACAAAGTTCGGAGATGATATCAAATCTAGTTGAGCATCGAATCTGGAAACGAAGCTTGCATGTTGTACTTGGCCTTATCAGCATTCCTGGTCAGCATATCTGCTAGCATTTGCTTACTCATCCAGTCTAGTCTCACAGCTATTACAAGATATGGTTTGCCAGACAGCAGTGGCAATAACATGCGACAATTTTTTCAGTTTCCGAATTAGCTCAGCACTTTTGTTGTAGTTGGTGGAATTATGCTTGTACATAGGTTTAAAACCTATCAACTGATTCAGCTGCTCTTATTTCTCATGCTTCAATATATTGGATTATTATCTTTCAATTCCAAATTTTGTCTACAAATGTTGCTTTCATCCCCGTTGCTTGTCTTGCTATTGAAGAAAGAATATTGTTGAATTGTTTGAACCAAAAACATGTTGAAATCTACAAGCAGTTTAATTACCTCCTGTTGTTTAGAAAACATGAAAAGCAGTTTATCAACTTTCAAGTGCCATGTCAAAGGAAAACTAAGTTTGGTTAGTATTATAAGATCGGGAAAAAACAGAAAAGTGTTTAGTTAAAAAGATAGAAACTTACATAGAAAAATGTTTTTGAAATAATTTTGAAGTTATTTTCTGTTCTTTCAGCATCATTTAGAATTCACCAAAAACTGCGAACCCTTTAAAAGAATTGCATTACAATATCAAAAAAGCATTCGGGGATTTACTGGTAGATGGAGCTGAACGAGGGCAACAATACATGTGGGCAAATTTTTGCTTACTGCTCCATCATATTTATTTGATCTAGATGGGTATTGGATTTTATAGCTGGAAATGTTTTGCTTGCTTTTGCAATCCCTGTAGCGGCCATGAGTTAAATTGATGCTTGACATAAAGGCTAATCGGTTAACAACTACCCTGAACTTTCTGTCAGCAGGAGATGAGTCCCTAACCTTTTTGTATTCTGATTTAGGTCACCTATGTTTTATCCATCAATGTAGTCCTTCCATCAAATTTGACCACGCGGGAGGCATACGTGTCATCCTTCTACACGGTCACGTGACCACACATGCTGATAGATAGATGGAAAATTGAATGGAAGGACTACATTGTTGAAAAAGAAAATAGATTTAGGATCAAGATCATGTTAAAAGAAAAGGATCAGGGACTAATCTTCTGTTACTTGAAGGTCAGGGTATTTTTTTAACCAATTAGCCCCTGACTTAAAATTTTTAGGTAAAGATGATTCAAATGGAAGCTTAGAGTTATAGTGCATCAATGAAACTTGGTCTGAATATGCCAACAGGCAGCCACTTAGAGAAACACTTAACTGCAGATAACATAGCTTCGGATTACATGATGTCACACCAGGTAGGAACTCAAGACCATGACCACAGAAAACAAAGACTCACAGCAAGAAAGTTCTACAAAGAAACCATTATTGAATTGTGACTGAAAACTCCGAAATGCTGAAAGAAGAACAAAGCTATTCCTCCTCTCCAAGCAGAGCTAGGAGGAAAGCCTTGTAATCCCCAGAAGTGTCCTTGGCAACTGCCTGATCAAGGGGCACACTGTTTCTCTTGTAGTAGATCTCCTTGATATCATTCAAGTCCTTCTCTGCCCTTGTGACAATCACACGAGTGAGTGCATCCTCATCTGTCCCAACCTTTTTGATGGCATTGCGCAAGATCTAAGCAGAAGGAAAGAATGTTTTAGCCCATTGAACTTTCATTTATGAAATTTAAGGCAACAGTGTAAACAATTTCACCTTTTCATAGTACTTTTTGTGGTCGTTGAGGCATCGAATGGCTGTACGGAGCACTGTTTTGAACTCATCAGCAGGCTCTTCTAGTAAGTCCTATTAAACAAAAATGACCATTAATGCTCCATTTTTATAATCAGACTCAACCTTGTAGATGGAAGTTCTGTTTTCAGAGAGTTAAAGCTTCTGTTACAGACCACAGAAGCGAAAAGAAACTTGGAGGCATTCACAGTGCTCCTCACGACAACTTGCAACTATAAACATTTAACTTGGTAACTAGGCGCAAGCTATTGAACTACTTTCTTTCTTTTTTTTTCTGTACCTTAGTGATGGAAGAGCCATGATCATCTCTGTAGCGGTTGAAAGTTGCCATGAGCTGTGCTTTGCTCCTGGTAGTCAGGATCCTAATGACATCTTCATGATTAAAAGCCTTGCCTTTGATTGCATCATGAAGAATATCAGCTTCTGAATTGGCCAATCTTGTATTAATCTCATCTCCTTCATACCTAAAAGCTGTCACCAATCCAACCAAGAGCTGCAAAATGATCATAACAAACCATCAGGCAATTGTGAATGGCCTAATCACAATATATCAATGATCATAACATGCCTTCCTGATATCACCGGTGGTACGGGCCGCAAGATCTTCTTCCAAGGAATGCTTGTACCGAGCATGGTAAGCCCTCCTCACAGCCAAGAGCTCCTCTGAAGATAGGACGCAGGCAATCTCTACAATCACATGGTAATCGCCAGATTTCCTGATAGCCACATTTGCTAACACTGCATCTCTGTCTTCTGGATCCAATACCCATCGATACACAGCTTTCTATGTTCACAAATTTATGAAACTTAATTAGCATCACAGGCATATATATAAACCCACTTCATCCCATTTTGCAACAATCCTTGGGTTGGAAAGAACAGAATGACTATGATTAAACTTTAATATGCATAAATCTCTTGCAAAACACAACTGATTGAACAAGACCCTTTAACAAATATTCCCTGCCTCTGACAGATAAGACTGGTTTCAATATAAAGTTTGTGTTATCATAAACATGATACTGACAATTACCTCAAAGTCTCCAGTGAGTTCAGACTCGAGACGCTTGACAAGATCTTCTTGAAACAATTCTGAATAAGCTAGCCTGATTTGCTTCCTTTGAGCAGCATTTCTATGCCCCAGTATTGAAATTATAGCCTTCTCGTTAGTCCCCCAGCCTAACAAAAAAAAAAACAGCACAGACAAATTCCGTTGTCAGTTTTGATATTTCCTTTTGCATAAAATCACTTGATGATCACAACATCAAATTGGATAGGATTTTTCACAAAAGAAGCGAGCAAGATCCTGATGAAATTCAAGAATCAAAACAAGAAAACATGAACTCAGAAGCCGATTTCTTTTGACAAAAAAGGGTACAAATTATCTTAGTGAAAAACACAAAGGAAAGACATATACAAGACATAGAACGATTTGTAAACTTAACCCTGGCAAGCCTTTTGGAGAGCTTGTGCATCATCAACACAAGAAACATTTTCAAGAACAACAAGGGTAGCCATTGTAGTTAACTCTCTTTGTCTCTTTAGCTAGAAAACTCAATGTGATGGAGACTTGTTCATACTCCCGTATTTATAGTCCCACTTTCTTACACTCTGACGTTGAAAACAATGTGGTAATGAATGGATTTCTTGGACTACGTAAATTTTATGAATACATTAATCAGCATGACCACCTGCTTTCCACTATTAGATTCTTACTTATCTCTCATGGTTGGCTTGAGTTAATGAATATTTTCTTCATACCATTTTTGAAGGCAAAATGAGTGAATGAGAGGAAATTTTATGGTGCAGGCACAAGAGTTTTATGTATAGTTGTCGTACCAGCTTGGGAGAGAAATTTAGGTCATCGCTTATCGAGTCGATCAATATTTTTTGACATAGCTTAGTTTGTGTCCTAATAAGGCATAGCTTAGTCCAGTGTATCTTCCCATCACAAAAATTATAAATATTTTGCCAGGAAATATAAAGCAGAAAAGAACAACTCATGCTGACAAATCATTCAGGCCAACCTCTTCACTTTCAAATAAAAATTTGACAACAAAGAAACTCAGACTGTCATTAATACTTTCCCTTTTTTTCCTTTTCCCTTTCCCCGCCTTTGGTTTCTCTTAAAGTAAACTTCCTACTCTTTTTCATATAGAATATTTTCTCATGATTGTTACAGCGCAACCACTTTTTACCATTTCTTACAGAAGTCTGATATCTTTTTCAGGCATGTTAACATTTAAGTTGTCTGTTAGGCAGCTGTATGCTTTAAGGTTGGACTATAGACACAGGAAATCCTCCTCCTAATTAACCCTCTCTTAATTTGATATTGCTGGTGATTGTTTCTCAATCAAATAGCTACATGATTATTATATATTTCTTAATTGTTGTCATGTAAAGTATATAATATAAGATTATAGTATGAAATTAAGAGAAGGAGAGAGAAGTACCTTTACAAGCCTTGTAGAGGGCTTCAGCATCCTCACTAGGAACATGGTTTTCAGGAGCGATGAGGCTAGCCATTGTTGAATTTTTTTTTCTTGAGTACTTTCTCTTAAGAAACGTGAGTGATTTGTGTCAGATTACACCACCATTAGCTTCCTATTTATACATGCAAACAGGTACTAGAGGACTTATGATACTGGGTTGAAAGTATCGACCAGCCTAGAGGGTCACACGTATCATGTTTAGCCGTTAATTACTTTGTTTCTTTTATGCTACTTTAATTATTTTGTTAAAAATATACTAGCATACTACTCAGACCTGGCCTGAAGATCAACTCAAAAATAAATATGAATTATTGGAGGATTATCGAGTAAATTTGAGTCAATATTTTTAAAAAAATGATATTATTTTATTTTTAAAAAATAATTTATTGAAATTGTTAAAAAAAATTATTTTAAACCTATAATTTAAATTATTAGATTAGATTACAAGATATGATTTATATTATTTTTTAATATACTTTTTTAAATGAAAACTTTTGAGCTTAAACTTGTATGGGTGTCTTACACTATCTTATATTTAATTTTTATCAAATAAATAAAGACAATGAGATTTGAATTCGTAATTCATCATTAAAATTATAATATTATATCAAATAATCATTTTAATTCAATAATTTAAGTTATTAAATAAAGTCTCAATTAAATAATTTATATTATTTTTTAATAAAAATTGAATTAATTATATTTAAACCGAGTTTGACTAATCAAGTGAAAAAGATTATTAAAAACTTAAGGTAGATTAATTAAATTTCACAGATTTAATTTAATACTCTAAATAAGGTTCTGGGATGTAAATTTCTTGTACCTAATAATTAAATTAATTTTTAATAACTAGAGTAAAAAGATATATAATTATCAGCATCTTTAACCCTTGAACGATTAGGAAAAGAGTGTAAAGAGTGAAAGAGAGAAGAGAAACGGTGATTATGTGTCCAGGAGTCACTTTCAGGTGGATAATTAACGTGTGAATTCTGGTGTTTTTTTCCTTGTAGAAGGTTGCAACGTGGGAAGAGATAGGTGGGAAAGCTAGTTGGAATTTACAAGTAGTGCTGGATTGCAGATCTCAGCAGTTGTCGTCCATGGAAACATGCATGAACATGTGAATGGCACAGCAAAAATATTGTCTTTTCTTCTCTGCTGATGCTAGCTTTTGCATATAGTACTTTACTTTGGTAATAAACCCGAAATGGTCGGTGAAACTATCTGTATGTTCTGCATTTTTTTCAAATCCCAAGACCATCCAAGTGATTCATGCATGGATCTCATGAGTTAGTTGTGAATCAAGTAGTGTGCGATCATGTAAGGATATTTATGGATTGATGATACATAATTGTTTCCAAAAACAATTCTGCATTATTGATACTTGTTATCTTTATTGTATTTAATTTTTCTATGGAAGTTAGTAATATAATTTTATGAATGATGAATTTAAAAATTTTGCAAATCTAAATCATAGCCTACTATAGAATTTTGAACTGAAAAAATGTTAAAAATCCTCCATTTCTCAGTATTTCAACAGTACATCTAATTAATGAAAAGAGACACATTGATCCCATTAAGAAAGCTAATTAAATTTGTAGCACTCGAGCCGAGCCAGTAAATAATAAAAAGATGTTTTTTTTAACAAACTTGAAAAAAAAAAGGTAAAAGTAATGGTCATGGTAGGTTTGGTTTTGTTATTGAATTTTTTAAAAAAAATATTTTTCAACTAAAAAGTTATTGAATTGATATTTTTTTATTTTTTTAATGTGTCATTGTCACAAATAAAATAAATATATATAAAAATACTCTATTTGAATATATTTTCAATTAAAAAGTATTTAAAACTCACCACCACCAACATTACGGAATAAACACATAATTACCCGATTAACCTAACTCTTGTAAATGCATCGTGTAGATGGAAAAGGATACGGAGATATTGATGAGCAGTAAACACCTACCCGGGAAGCAACATCCAGAATACCATTTTCAAATTGCAAGTGGTTCAAGTTGCTGGCCACCCTCGCTGTGACTAGTGGAGGCTCGAAAGAAACAATTAACTAGTTTATTTATATACAATGGTGTAAAAGACTCCATGGCCCAATGGATAAGGCGCTGGTCTACGGAACCAGAGATTCTGGGTTCGATCCCCAGTGGAGTCGGGTTAATTTTTCCTCTTTTTACTGTTTTGCCAGTTTTCAGGCTGAGGCCTCAAGCCCACTAATAAAGACTAGAATCAATTTAATGTCCATGGGCCGCTCAGCCCAGTTTTTTTCTACTTCCCTTCTTCGTTTTTCTACAAGTGGGTTCGAGGCTACTTGTTGGAGGCAATGTAATTAAACTCGCTCTAGGATTAGGTCAGGTGGATTAACCTTTTCTTAAAATAAAGTCAAAATGATATTGTTTTCCATAACTTATTTTAGAAAATCATCTCCTTCAAAATCGGGTCGGGTCAACTATTTACATGTTAACCTGCTAAGTTAGCCAAACTTAAATAGGATTCTTTTAAAAAAATTAACTGATTTTTAAAATAAATTTTCAGGTTAAATTTTATAACCGTGACTCCAATGATATATAAATGATATATAATAGTCTAAATTATTCTTCGAGGAATAATTGAAAGTTCCCTTTTCTTTTTAAAATTGTATTCTTTTATATTTTAAAGTATTTTTTTATTGGGTTTTAATTTAAAAAAAATAAGAAAAAGGAGCTAACGTTTTTAAATGTTATACGTATCTTTTGTCTATAAACATTTTGAACGAATTTAATGAAATGGCACAATAACAACAAATCACATGCGTAGGGCCTCTGTCAAGAGTCAAAAGACCTAACCCCCTACTTTAAACCCTAATCCTCAAGCGTTACCTAATTAATAATTAATCCACTCTCATAATCCTTCTCCTTTTTTTTTAATGCAAAAACGTGGCTATCCCAAAAAACACCACTTGGTCAACATGGGCCCGAGAAACCGACCCCCGAAACCGACCCTCGAAGCAACCACAGCCACAACTTAGATCCGCCCACCAAATTTCTCTAAATTCACTTGAAATTCAACCCAAATCAAACTCGTCACGTATTAACCAATCACGTTCAAGTATTAGATCTATCCTTAAATTCTAACCACACACTAAGATACTGCCCTAAACACACGTGTCAGTCAAATAGCCAATCAAACTCACGTGATCTCACGTGCTCTACAACCCTTTGGCTTTTCCCTTTCTTTTGTGCTCTTGTTTCAGTCTCTGGAAAACTCTTTTGGTTGCTTCTTTAACAACTGCTAAGGTTCTTGTTTTCTTGTTTTGCATGTAAAGTTTTTGTCTTGGTTTGGTTTTTAGGGTTGAGGGGTTTTGATGTTTTTGTTTTAACGTAAGTTAACGTTTTTTTTTTTCGTTTTTTGGTGAAGGTTTTGAAGGATTGGCGATGTGTGAGATAATTCAAGATATAATATTTGAATTGGGTTTTCGTTTTGTGATCTGTTCTGGTTTCCTTAGCTATGTTTGATTGGAACGACGAAGAGGTAACTCAATCATTTCTTTTCCTTTATCTATATTGGAATATGCAGTTGATTTGTGATTTGGATTTGTGGGTTGCGTTTAGATTTCACTGATCTTTTTTAAAATGGATAGTTACTTGTATTTTGAAGTTTTCTAGGACTAATTTGAAGAAGAAATGATCTTATTTTTTTTAGGATTATGGGTGGTTTAAGAGTATGGTTATATTGGAAGATTGGTTGTAAGGAGAACTGTGTTGAAGTGAAAAGTATGAATTGCAGTTTTTTTCTTTTAATGGATTAAAATTTTGAAGGAATTAGGAATTGGCAAAGTGTTCAAATGGTGTGATTCATTTGGAAATTAGATGGAGTTTTCATAAGTGATGAGAGATATTGACTTTGTTGAAGATTAAGGAGTGGTTGTGGTATGGGATTTAGGGGAAAGTGAGTGGTTGTGACGAGGAATAATCGATCAGTAGTATTTGAATGTGGCACACTGACGTAGAGTGAAGAAATGATAAGAAAACTAGGTCTTTGTGGAAAACTATTAGAGCTTCTCAAGTGTTTTAATTTGGGAGTCATTTTCACGGGCCGCATTGCTATGAAGCTGGTGGAAATATGTAGGGTAAGGGCTGGAGGAGCGAAGAATATAATTTTTCTTGGGAACTGAGGGAAGATTTCAGCGAATGAAGTTAGGATGTGGAAAGAGATGGAGCTTGTGATGATAAGAGAAGCTGCGCATAGTTATTGGTGATTACAAAAGTCGTGTGGATTCATATCTAAAGAAGCTATGAAGAAGGTATCTTTGAAGGCACTTTCCTCCCTTTTCCTTACAAAGTAGCTGGTGGAAAGATGCAAATTTATTAGTGGATCAGTTGATGGGGTGCAATGTAATATCCTCCTTCTTAAATAAGCTCACACTTTGAGGTATTTTTTATTGGATATCCAGCAGAAAAAAACTTGATATTGCTTGGTTTGTCTTCCATGGATATTGATAAAAAGGTGATATGCATGCCTAATGGAAAATGTACTTCTTCTTGCTGGGTCTGAAATTCAAACTTATGTTCACCAGGGACCTTTCAATAATGCTAGGTCATTAAAAATTAGCAAAAAAACTTGATATTGCTTGGTTTGTCTTCGATGGATATTGATGAAAAGGTGATATGCATGCCTACTGGAAAATGTACTTCTTCTTGCTGGGTCTGAAATTCAAACTTGTGTTCGCTAGGGACCTTTTAATAATGTTGTTGACGTGAACTACTAGGTCACTAATCACAGGTCAAAGTAGGAGACTGCTGATGGTGCATCAGTTAGAGATACCTTTGATTCACATATTCAGGATTCAGAGTTTTGGGCCTTTTGCTTTGATTATAGATGTACAGCTATAAAATGTTGTCTAATTTTTATTGAATAGGTTTTATTTATGGTATTAGGGAACCTAAGTTTCTTTCTCCGGTGACACACTTATTGGTGAAGTTTGGTTGTGATCTTGGTGTCAAATAATACTAGTGAAAAGTGAGAAAGGGAATCTTCTTTAAATGGGATTTGAGAAGGTTTATGATCACCCGAGTCAGAGAGGACCATGAGAAAGTGATGCAGGTAGCGTTAGATGCTATATCTTACTGTGAAGAAATTAGTTCAAAAAGAAGATACTTTGCCTTGGTTTTATTTGTCCAGACTGAAGTTTCCAAAGTGCTCTGTACATGCAATGAAGCTTTAGGTCTTGCTTCATCTTATTGAGAGCATGCTTTGGGCCATCTCCTACTTTCCTTTCCTTTTCTTGGCTTTTTTTATTTTCATTGAAATTCTTAAATGTATCATGCCAATGGCTTCTACTTTCTATTTTATTTTTAACACAATTTAGAACATTTTAGTATTTTCTGCATGACTCCATTAAATATTTTGTTCCCAACTCATTGACACTAATTACTCTCTCTCTCGTACTCACATGTGTGCTCATATGTGCCCACGCACACCTTACAAGGAACTGAACTGATTAATTAGTGTATTATTCAGAATATTATGTTGGGAAAAATAGTCTTGCTAAGTTACCCAGAGATTAACTTGTGACTGTTTCATTCTTCTCATGTATCCCACATTTAGAGATGATGCTTACTCACTATCTTTTCAGCTTACGAACATAATATGGGGTGAGGCTGAAGATAGTGATGACCATATCGTGCCATATCCAGAGGCAAGTGAAGATTATTGCAAGAAAAAGGAATCGAGTGAAGAGGCTAGCACCATTAAATCTAGTGAGCAGAAGGCACCTGGGGCTAAAGTTGATACTGATGGCAGAAAGCTGGAGAGCATTTCGAATGTTGACACAAGTGAAGGAACTTCTTCCTTGGGACTTGACATGGACCGATGGCCTAACCTGTCCTCACCTAATGCTGCCAAAACTGAGCAGGATTCCTTGGAAACTTCAATCTCTAACAATCTAACTGAGATTACCAAACTTGAGTCATCAGCAGGTGATGAGATTTCAATTACAAGGAATGTAGATATGGTGATGAGTTGCATGATGTTTTCATAGCATAGTATCTTACACGCTACTGTCATTCTAATTCTTTAAAAAAAAAATGCTGAGACAGATCATCTTGATAAGGACACTGAGATTTTTCAAAATCCTCACGAAGGTAAAGAGCAAGGTGATTTTGTTGATTATGGCTGGGCTAGCATTGGAAGCTTTGATGATCTTGATCGAATTTTTAGGTAAAGCACAGTTACCATTTCTTACTTTCTGCACCTAAACAAAAGATGGTCAGCAGCACCCTGATATGGAAGCTTGTATATCTCATTATTCTGATAATTTGAACAAATTCTTATTACTGAATGTGAAGTGAAACTTTCGGGAACACAATAATTATGCTCACTGTCTATTTTCATTTCAGAAGAAGAAAAAATCATGTAGTACAAGAGTGTTGTTGTGAAGGAAAAACAACCAGAATCTTTTAATAATTGTAGTTTCTTCTGTTTTGGATCTGTATCCTTTTCCAAATAAGTGCTGTCTGCTGAAAGCAACACGAACAAAAAATGACTAGTTGTTTGAAAATTTGTGGTTTTTGATTCTTGGCTTAATTTTGTTAATTGGGAAAAGAACCTGAAGAATGCCAGTTTTTAGCAGCACAATATCCTCAAATACAAGTATAAATGGCAGAAAGAATGTAATATAGCAGCACGGGATTTGTAAGGAATTGCTGAGCTTGTTCAATTGTGGAAGGGCTTTCCTGCATTTCTGTTCTTCACTAATGTTCTTATACTTTATCTTGATTTTGTTGGAGAACAGTAATAACCATCTGACTCAATATCCTCACAAGTGGTGATTTTGCAGCAATGATGACCCAATATTTGGCAATGTAAATCTTGGTAATGCTGATGAGCTATGGTCTTCTTCAAAATATACAACTAACAGCCCGGTCAAGCCCTTTCCGATATCTGTGGCTTCAAGAGAAGAGGACCAGCTGTTTGCCCTTGGCTATGGAAAAATGAACGACCCTGCATCTCATGGTCTGCAGAATACTCAGGCAGGCCTTGATCATGTAGAATATGATGAAGGTAAAAACAAGCCTATGCTGAAGGAGCAGGTACGGCGACTCAATTTTCAGTAATGAGTTCACTTATTAACGCCCCATGCTCAAGTGCAGGAGCTGAGAGAAGCTTAGCATTTTATTTTATTTTTGGTGCTTTTGCAGACAGATTTGGCTGTTGTGGGAAAGAACACGGCGGCTAACTCTCAACTGACAGAGGAAAATGGTGCTTTTCCAAATGAATTAGCAAACAAGGTACCTTTTTTTTTCTTCCTTTTGATATTTTCAAAATGTTGATACTGAACCAGACATGTTACTGATTTTAACCCTTTTCATCCAGGATAACTTTTAGACTCAGTAAGCACCAAATACAATCTTTGTTTTTTAGAATCCTGCTATGATCTTTTGATGTTCTAAGTTCTTCTGTCCAGGATTACAGAAAAGTTATATCAGTGAATTGAATTTGGAAAATCTTGATATTGTTATCCTTTCACTAATACAGTGTGGTTTCCTCATATTAGATCTTAAATTAGATTGGAGGGACAGTGAAACCTAATTAGAGCTGGGAAGGGTAAAATTTACCTTACACTTGAGCTTATTAAGACTTCCTTCCTGAGTACTTCTCTGGAATGGAAAATGGCGACAGAAAAGAGAAATTATATTATTTAAATTCCTCTTCATCTCTTCATATTTCTTGCTATTATTTTTAGTTTTATTTTTTGGCATGATAATAAACTTGGATGTTGGGTGAATATGGATTTACATGATTTATTCATGACTTCAATAATGCATCAATTAAGTTATCCTGGATGTCAAATCCATTACTTAACCATGATATCGATTGCCTAAAGTGAAGCCATTTTGTGGTTTTCTGTTAGTAGGAAGGAGAAAGGAATAACACGTAAAAATTCAGGAGTCATCAGTTATTTATATTTCTAGCATGACATCCACTCTTCCCAGGGACATGCAAATTCTGTTTGCTTGGCATAGTCTAGCTAATACCTCAATATATTCTGAACAATAGAAGCTCTTTGGATCGTAAGTTACAGTTAAAAAAAATAAATAACTTTGAATTTATCCTTACAAACCATGTACTGAATTAAAATACTAACTGTGCCTTAGTCACTCTCCCCTGCAGGTCTAGATTGTTAAAACGTTGATTTATTCTAAGTAATTTGTCTATTTATATGTTTATAGTTCTGTGATCAGACATACAGGCAAAAGAAGATCTTGAAAGGTCGGGAAAAACTGGAAGAAAAAGGTGAACTGAAATCATACCAAGATTTTTATGGAAACTGGACTTCATATGTAATCCCAGCCTGTCAACTTAAGGATCATTCAGCACCCCAAATTATGCAATCTTCTCCCCCTTCAATTCTCAGCCAACAGAAGCAGCTACAGGGTTCCGAGCAGTTGCAGTACCAGCAGATATCCAATCCATTTGTGGCCCCTTCTGCATACGGGAGTATTACAAATCCATATTCTATGCCTGGGTTGTCCCACATTCAGTCCGGGGATTTTAAGCATCAACCTTTAGCTTCTGGTTATGAAGTTTCTTCAGGTAATGCGAATCCTGTTAAAGTTTTCTGACTTTCCAACAAAATTTCTAGTCATTTAATCATCGACCTAAAATTTCTGGTTATGAAGTTTCAGGCAATGCAAATCCTATAAACAAGTTAGCTGACTGTCCAGTGAAACCCCAGAGAATGACACCTCAGGAAAAGATTGAAAAATTAAGGAGGCGGCAACAAATTCAGGCAATGCTTGCCATTCAGAAACAGCAGCAGCAGCTTGTTCATCAAAAGTGTTCCCAAGAAAATCAAATTCAGCATGTTGAAGGAGCTGACCTTGAAGTAGAGGATTTAAGTACACTTTCTTCATTTGACCCAAACTCACCTATTGAGCAAGACGATTCCAATACAGTCTCTCTGGCGGTTAATGATTATTCAATGGAGGACACAGTACTCTACAGGCTTCAAGATATTATTTCAAAGGTATGCTTCACGTACGATTGCATTCTTTCCCTGCTAAATAATTTGTGCTTGGTTATGATTCCAAACCAATGTTTTACAACAGTTGGATGTGAGAATTAGACTTTGTATTCGGGATAGCTTGTTCCGGCTGGCTCAAAGTGCAATGCAAAGGCATTATGCTAGTGATACTGGCAGTACAAACAATAGTAGCAGGGACGAGCAAGTTGCTGCAAAGGAGGAAACCAGCAGTCAAAGAAGGTTGGTTAAGGCAATGCATTTCTCATGCTTGTGTTTTCAAATTTAATCTATCCTCTCTCTTTTTTTTAACATTTTTGCTCGATGGAAATGTTAAATTAGGATCTTTTAATGCCATCACCATTTTCTGTTTTCCATTCTCATTCTAGAAATAAAAATTGAAAGCGGTATCCTCTATTTACAATGGAGGAATAGTGACTGAAACAATTCATGTAAGGCCGCGCTTGCTCTTAGAAGTAGAAGAAAATCTAAAGAGAAAATTTTAGGTTCCTCTTTCACTGGATTTCCTTAAAAACTTGACTGGATTTGACCTTGTTGATCAAATATGTAGTAGTTCGCTTCCACTGGTTCTGTTATGATTGTGAGTGCTGGTCATCATGTCTTGATTTAGTTGAGAGAAGCTTTGGTATTGTATATAGGCCAACCTAGGTAGAGGCAGATATTAAACTGACATTTATAGCTTTACCCTGGTGCAGCCTTCATGAGTGCAGTGCAGCGAGTAGTCATGAGGTGACAATTCAACTAGCATAATATTTAGTAGAGATTTTCATTTAATTAGAAAAGGAAATTTAATCTTTCCAATATTAACAAAATCTATGCAAGTTTTCTGCAATGTTGATTCCAGTGAATTTGTGCATAATCACCTTAATCCGAAAAGGAGAGTTAAACACACACATCCAAGTCTAAATGAGTGGCACAACATACCTGATAAATTTTGCTAGATTTAACTAAGAGAGAGAGAGAGAGAGAGAGAATGTTAAACAAGTGCAATGAGTTTATTCATGGACAAATAGAAGGAAAACAAGATCTGTACAGATTCACTGAAATCATCAATGCAGAAAACTTGCACAACTTTAGATAAACAGGGCAAAATTAAATTTCCCTTCTAATTTAGTGATCATCTGCAGATTCATGTTACACATTTTAAGCAAGAAAATTTAAGAACTCAAATCATCTTCTAATCTGCTCATCTATGTCTAAATGGGATACTTCCAGCCAAAACCATAAGCTCTTTTGATCTGAAACTCGATTTTTTGTTGTAAGCGACAATGTGATTGTTTCTTGTTCCAATGGGTTTGTTCCTTTACATCTCGTCCTTCCCATTTCAAATTATTCAATTTGTTTGCACAAAATTATTAATCAAGTCTTTATCAATTTGTTTAGAGTATGGCAATCTCAAACTTGCCTGTCATTTTCCTCATGGATTTTATGAGAATTCTGCAGGGTGGTTCAGATGCCTGAGGTGGAAACAGAAACCAATCCGGTAGACCGGACTGTGGCTCATTTGCTGTTTCATAGACCGATGGATATTCCTGGGAAGCACCCTCATACACCTGAATCACCTTTTTCAACCAAGCTCCCGTGTGAGCACAAGACAATGGCCCTAGCAAAGCTGTTAACGGGAAGCCTGTCTGAGACTCCGAAAGGAAAACCAAACTTTTCGCAAAAGGGGTCTCAACTTTCTAGTCTCTTGACCGATGCTCAGCCCGTAAGTCAGTGTAAAAGCAATCCTTGCTTAGACACTTCAGAGGATGCATCAAACAATGGGCCTGCAGATGAAGGAGCTAGGGAGGTTAAAGCCTCTCAATGAAGACAAGGGTAATTCCTACCTGAATCTCTTCCATGCTTGCAGTGACGATTTACTAGTAATGCCGAGGTTTTCTTTTATTGTGAGCTCACTGGATCATCATGAGGAATAAACACCAGTATTGATGGGGATTTGTACATGTCTTTAGCAGCGTAACCATCAAGAAGTCGCATTTGTGCATGCTGGAAGTATTGTTGTTAATATAGCTACGTATCTACTGCAAAACAATGAACTCTTTGCTGTGAGTTCTCCAGATGATGACTTTCTGTGCTTTAATCCTTTCTATTCAGTGACATTGGCCACTTTCACTTGATTCTGAATTGTGATTCCAATACGCGGATGAATTTTATATTATCTCTTCTTTTTATATCTATAAAAAAGTAAACTTCAAGAAAAGTTTTTTAATCAAAGTTAAGTAATAATAAAATAGATAAATCAAAAGTTTTTGGATTTTGAATTTTTGGAGAAGGGGAATAGATTAGAGAATGGAGATTTTTGAATTCTGAAATTTGATTTTGCCGCGTCAACGATGAAAAATATGTTGCAGATTACTTAAATATTTTTTAATCCTTTTCAGCTCTGCTAGGCCCGTTGTCTTTTAAGATGGACACTTGTTTTTTAAGGGTGGCGCTGGCAGTTCAAAATCTGAAGCATGTGATGTTTGTTTGCCGGCATTTGATAGAGGAACAGTAGTAGCATTAATTATAGCAGAAAAGATATTGAAATAGAATGATGATTATTATTTACGGATATGAATAACAGACAATAATTATGGAAGAAATTATCTGTACTTTAACATGCAACAAATAAAAACAGACATCATTTTGGACAATATCTGTATTTCATTCATCCAAATTTTAACTGAAATTGCCTCTGATTACTGAAAAGAAAATAAACTATTTAGTAGCAATACCTCAATATGTTGGACGATTGAAAGAAAACTCCTTTTAACGAATTTCTAAGGAATGTGAGAAATCTTGGGCCAATCTTTACCTTTCTCCCTTTCACAACTTTCACCCAGCATGGGACAATTGAAAATTGCAAGAGTAGAAAGGGAGGAGGGCAACCCTTCTTCTCGCATTGACTCAATCAGAGGGCAGTCATGTATAATCAATTGTTTAAGGGAAGTGAGGTGTTGAACCCCTTGTAGTCAAGAGATTGCAGGTGTTCTAGGGACCAGATGGTAAGAGATGTAAGACTTGAGGGCAGCAGCATCTCTTCAGGGAAGGATTCAACATTTTCGTCCAAACCAATTGCAAAGCGTGAAAGAGAAGGGAGCGTTTGCAAGCCCCATTGCATGCGACCTGCAATGAGTTTGTTGCACCTCCAAATCTCAAGTGATTGTAATGTGGAGGAAAAACCCCCTTCTGGACACAACTCAACTTCTAAACAACCATGTATTTCCAAATGGGTAAGAGATGGGAGGAGGGAATACATACTCTCAGGCAACTGCTTCAAGTTTTCGCAATAATCTAACTCAAGTCCTGTCAAGACTGGAGCAGGTAACCCTCCTTTGGGAAATGAAACTAATTTAGGGTGAAATGATCTAAAATTACATAAAAAAAATTAATTTATAGCAAAAAAAATTAGATTCTTTCAAAAATAATTTTTCACCGTAAAAACAAACATGTCATTCTAGAAAGAAAAGTTTTAAGTAAAGTAAATTTTGAGTTTAAAATTACATGTGCTAGTGCATGCTTTTGAGCCTAAATTTGTTATAAAATATTATTGTAAGTTATAAAAAATTATTTTTTGTCCAATTCAGTAAACAAATAATTATTTCTTTCAATTCATTGTTTTTTGTAATTCAGCCCATGTATGTCAACATTTTCTTCTATAAGTATATTTTGAATATTATCAAAATTAATTTTTTTAACGTTATACCTTTTAAAACTACTATAAAAAGATGTGAAAAAAGAGTTTAATACAATATTTTTTTCTTCATATTTTTATATATTTTCCTTACCTTATTTTTAGTGTTTTTCTTCTCTTTTTGAGTTTTGATTTTCCTATTAAATCTAGAATGAGATTAATCTTATTAAAAAATATTTGAGTTGCATAATATTTTTGTTCAAATATCTTGTTTAAAATATATATAAAGTAAGGTGGTGGTATTGGTATCTTGAAAGATTTATTGTAAAGAGATGTACAATCAAATCTTAAGGATAAATGATTCATTCTTGACAATAACAAAGTTTCATTAATTTTAAAGTATCTCAACAAGTGGGTATCTTTCTTTTATTTTTTTTAATCATTATTCTTTACTATGCATGCATGCTAGGATTGCCTTTCGATTTTTTATGCTTCTTTGAATGTATGCTTGATATAACATTTATGTATTTTAATCTTTGATAGCATGGTTGTCATATTATATATATATGAACTCTAGATTTTCCTTCAAATATTTTTATGTTTAGCATGCTTTTGTGTGTAATGTTTCTAAGTTTATTGCTTCAACATGTATGAACTCTAGAATTTCTTTAAAATATTTTTATGTTTAGCATGCTTTTTTATATATAAAAAAGCTAAACAATCTTTGTTTAATTGCTTAAGTTTTAGAATTGCAGTTTTAGTTTGCTGGATAACTTATCCATGATAAAATTCCGAAAGAAAAGGGATGGGGTAGGGTGGGAATTTGCTTTCTAACATCCTCTACGATGCTAAAAAAGATTAAAAAAATAAAAAACGCATGTCCTCTTCACCTTGTTTTAGGGTCCAAAAGCATGCTAAAGAAAACAAACAAGTGTTACGAATCGAATAAGAAAGAAATAGCACAGGACAGGAACACAAGCACTTGTCTCGCTAACTCATGCGTTCCTGCATTTTGGCAGACTTCCGAACCAGAAAGTCAGGCATGGAGGTGGTTCAATGAAACACGCATGACAATGAAGCAGGATAGAGACATTTTGCTGCCCCACCACCCCGTCCACCGGCCCGTGCGGACATTTAACATGTATTCATTTGTTTTTGCAGCTGATAGTATATGCTCTGTTCACAACAATTTAAACTATGTTTATTAAGCGTCCCAAAGGTGATATATTTTAAGAAAACAATTTATTGATAATAATTTTGGCTCTTGCCAAGTATGGATGACTGTCCAGATCAGACTTGATATACGGCCAGGTCAGCATGGAATAAGTAGCCCCCAATAATTTGTTTTTCTCTTTGCTTGGAAGCCCAACAGCTCTACGGCTATAGAAAGAAAGGGATTTAGCTTTTCCCGTTCCTGAATTTGTACCCCCATTCTATAATTTAAACATGAAGAGTTAAAATTAATTCTAAGCAATGCCAGGTTTTATGCATCGGAAAGTCATTGAATAAAAATATTGGCACTAGGGCTGAGAGGGATTTTCCTTTAATTGGGCTGAGAAAGCTGCCGACGACGTTACCATCAACTGATTGACTAAGAAGATTTTTTCAATTTTGGCAACTAGATGAGATCCCTCGTAAATTTGAGCACATAAGAAGCTTGGACATTTCTGAGATAATTGTTCATCATTCATGACCAGGATATATTCACGGTGTCCAGACTCAACAAACCCAAAGAAAAAACAATTAAATTAATCAGGATTTTTTGGGAGGTTTAAAATTCACAGTGAAAATCTCTAGTCATAGAGAAGCTGAAACTCGCAAGTTGTCAAGTTAAACATCTGGGACGAAGCTACACAGCAAAGAACACCTCGCCGCGGTGCACAGGAATTGTGGCCAGCTGAACAAAATCACGAGGTTAATTACACATTGAAGAGAGACGACGAGAAGATGAATAGGAAATGGGCGCAGCACATCCATGCAATAATATTCAAATGCAGAAATATAGCTGTCAAATGACCGAAAGTTCATGGTGGTGGGCTCCCCCCACCATAAGCCCACATGTGAACCTTTTACGGTTTCCATGAATAAAAGCATCATGAAATCATAATTAACCAACCTAAAATCAACCACCTCTCGAGTCCTTGAACGCACAAGGCACTTACTTGGTTTAATCGTGCATAGTCAGCGCAACTGTGCATTAGTAGAAAATCAATAGTGAGGCACGCCTTGATTTTTCTGCTCAGATCTTTTAGCCAATAAACCCCACAATTTTCTATTGCGTGGATGATGTCGGAATGATATTTTTTTCAACGAGCGTACCAGATAAACGCCTAGAGGAGAGAAGGAATAATTGCAAGAACCAAGTAATAAAAATCAAATTACCTGGCACCATGCACAACAATTCAACAGCTTTTCTGTTTGAACTAGATTAAAATAACATCTAGGATTTCAATAACACTTAATTCATATATTTTAAAGGAGGATAAGTTAGCAAGTGCAACTATATTGCGTGCAATATGTATCTTAGACAACTCTGGCAACTAGGTAATAGGGTGACATAACAATCTTACCATTTGAGACTGAAGATAAAAATTCATAAGCACATGAGTAGACTAAATAGTAGCTCATCACCAGCTACCTACTTAGTAACGAGGCAATTCTCAAAAAATAAAATGAGACAGGCCAAAAGCGCATACAGCTTCAAAGTTGGCCGCTTTGAATATAAACAAAGATATAACTAGGCTCCATCTGGCTGGACAAAAGGGTTGGCAATCTCATCTGTACCATCAGTTGGTGACACCAGCATCACAGCAGTTCCCCTGCAAACCTGTAGCAAAAATAAAACATTCTCCTCTTTATCTCCATACTTCCTATGTCATCTAGGGTCAAACGATTCATTTGCAATCCCACAACACCTCTGGTCACAATAAATTTCATAACATATTCGCCAGTCCAGGATCATATGAAACTAGACCCTTCCTGTGAATGTTTAAATAGAATAACCAAGATCAAAAGAAAACATACAATTAGGCCAAGGCGCCTTGTCTGATCAGTGGTCTTTAGAGGATCATCAGCATCTGCAACCCAATGAAAGGAAATAAAAATCAATGCTGTGAATAGCACATGCATAATGGTATAGATAAAGCTTCAGCATTTAGTAAGGGTGAAAGGAACTTCAGTTCCACAGTTAAATAAAAATGTTGCTAAAGTTAGAGCATATTGGTGCTCAACATTTTTTATATTAGACTAATGTCCATTTCAAGATGATCTCGGTGACATAGAAGTAACTGGTGAGTTGCATGACATGGCCGGCCACTCTACAGATCCCCAGTGCCACAGTGCAATTCTGGAGTTAAAACACTATTATAACATAATACAGGACCCAAATGAAATGATAGTGGAAAGGTGTTGGCTGTTGTTAATATGAATTAAATTGAATGGAATGGCAACTTTCCATGATTCGGGTGACAGGATAACAGAGCCACCTGGAGGGATGCTTGAAAACAAGTCCAGGCAAGTGTTCTTTTAGTCCAAATCAAACTAAATATGGTTGGACACATGCATTAAATCACTGATACAAACTACAATAATACATTACCATAACAACGTAAAATTGTTACCTCTTAGAAACTCTACCGCTTCATCCAGGACAAGGTTTAGTAATGGGTCATATCCCTTCAAAGTCCCTGTCACTGAACCCAAAAGAGCAACAGTTTAGTCTTGCATACCACAGATAGAAAGTGTTAATGTTTTATTTATGAAAGATCTGGAAGCTCTCTCTAAATTAAGTAGTGGCAGAATAAATTTTTTCCAAAGATCTGCCAAGATATTTGCTGGTGACAGAAGAATTGCACAAAGTTATTCTTCAGTTATACCCAAACTCACTTATTAACTCAGCAATCACGCTCTTACTCTCAAACATCTGTCCCACACCCATTTACACCATACAATTTGAAGAATGGCTTGTGCTCCAACTTGTTATGTTCTTATGACCAACTACGAACCCCCATCCTAAATCTTCTAATTCAGAACCTAAAAATCATAAAATCTACAAACAGAAAAAAAGAGATCATCTGTAAAGATCAAATATTACCCCCTGAAAAATGTAAAGTGATTTCCAGTGTTGAGTTTTGAAAAGGTCCTTGCAGAGTCCATACTATTATCCGCTTTCCTACTAACGAAAAGAAACAAACCTGGTGTCTAAAAATCAAACAAGAGGGATCATGTCTGGCAATTTTCACCCAAGTTGTGGAAAGTTGAAGATTACAGTATTGCACATCACACTAGGTTTACGTAAATACACTACACGTCCTCTCATTTTTCCTTTATTTAACCTAATCACCCCAAACAATGCAAAAACAAATCACAATCCAGAAATCCATATCCATAAAAATCTACATTAAAAAAGAAACAGAAAAGTAAAAAAAGTAGTGACCTTGTCTACCACCAGTGAGCTTGACTTGAACACCCTTGTCCACGAACTTAGCCAAATCCAATACTGTTTCTTTCCTCCCTGACTGAAATCACAATTAGTTACACACATTAAACCCTAATCACAAAATCAACAATATAACACACAGTCTCAATCCATGCTTACCATCTTATCTGATTAACTATACAGCTCCTCTTTACACGACAATCCAATAACCCTAGACGGATACAAAATGAAGAAGAGCATAAATGCGTAGACAGCAACGAGAAATATATCCACAAAAGAAAAGTTCTTAAATAAATAAACAAAAAAAACTATGCAAAAACCTTGCTTTTTCTCAGTGGATGAAGTGTGCCCTAGATTTCCTCTCTTTCTGTGTCCTGTGCTTTTCCCGCTTTGCTTGCACACTGGAAGTAAAAACCACAGCGCCATTCGTGCTAGTCGGGGTAGAATAGAGAGGTTTCGACTCCCGGCTTCTTTACTTTGGCCCAATAACCAAAGCCCATATGCATGGTTTCCTTTGGGCCCATATAGGATCAGACCCAGGAAACAAAAGTCTAGGGCTTTTTTAGTAACACGGAAATCTAAATGACAAAATTAGCCTCCGAGATGAGGGTATATACGCAGCACTTTAGTGAGAAAACGAGGCTCTATAATTATTTGAGGGTGGCCTGCGGCGGTACTAGGGTTTAGTGGTAGCAGCCGATAGGAGGAGGAAGACTGTGTTTCTGGGAATAGCTGAGCTGCGAAGATGCCGGAGAAATCAGGGAAAGGAAGAAAGGAAGAGGTTATCACCAGAGAATACACCATCAACCTTCACAAACGCTTGCATGGATGGTATCTCACTCACTCTTTCATCATTTATTAAAAATGGTCTAGATCTGATTTAAGAACAGTTCAGTTTCATCGTTAATTATTGTTAAATTTGATTGATGGTTCTATTTGCCATGTTTCTTTTCTTAGTTATTGATATGTTCGTTGGACTGTGTAAACCAACTAATCTTGGTTAGATTGGAAAGCTGAGGGTATTTATTTTATTAATCAGCAACGAAAGAGTACAATACGTAATGTCTATGCCCTGTGATTGCAAATCGAATACCTTAGTGAGTATGTTAAGATAATTAGAAGCAACAAAAGTTGGGGGGGTTGCATATCATACGAGATCTGTTTACGCTCTTGTTTGCTATATTCTCATCATCTATTTTTTATTACATGGAGATGTTGCGTGTGACGGACTTGCAGCTTTTGTTGTTATCGTTGTTTTTTAGCTTTTTGCTTGTGATATAAATATGAAAATGTTTTCTTTATACCTTTTTGGTTTAGATGTTGGCTGGATTGTTGTTAAATTCTTCACAGCTTAATATCATGAACTGATTTTATACCCTTTCCAATTTGCTATCTCCCCTCTTTAGGTTTTTGTTGTATGATTTGTTTTCCCTTCTGCGATATTTTCTTAACATGTGATGTGTACACATTTTCAGAGTACAATCCAGGGTATTTTGTTGAAACTAATGGTGTACTTTGTGCTTTGAATGCGACACCCAGGGCTGTTCAAGCTGTAAAGTAACGAAGTTTAAACCTTCTAGATGACTAATTGATGCAATTGAATAACTTTTCTGAAGTTGTGCTCAAAGCCTTCTTTTTTTTTAAAAAAAGTTGATTTCTCATTGCTAATCTAGATTTATAGATTTACTGATGTGATTTGTTTCGATAATTCTGTGAACTGAATTTTGTTTGATTTCTATTTGAAGCACCTTCAAGAAGAAGGCTCCAAAGGCCATCAAGGAGATAAGGAAGTTTGCTCAGAAGGCCATGAAGACAACTGATGTCAGAGTTGATGTTAAGCTAAACAAGCATGTGTGGAGCCGAGGTATTAGGAGTGTGCCAAGGAGAGTTCGTGTTCGCGTTGCACGGAAGAGGAATGACGAAGAAGATGCCAAGGAAGAATTTTATTCCCTTGTCACAGTTTCAGAGCTTCCTCCAGAGGGATTTAAGGGGTTGGGCACCAAGGTCATTGATGACGAAGAAGAATGAAGTAACCTGCCTCCCTAGTGTTCTATGTTAAGTTGCAGTTTTGGCTATATTGTTGATTCATCCAGTGAATTTCATTTTGTTTTGGATTCTCTTGGAGACATCTTTAGCAAAGAAAGTATCCTTGACGTTTTATTTATGCATTCAGAGTTTTGGTTGATGTTTAATTGAGTATTAAGCTTCTTAATCGGCCCTTACCTCTAAAAGTGAACGCGATTTTGTGTGCATCTGCGAGTGACATCTGAACCAGGGTGGCTTCATAATTCATAATTTCATATTTAAGAAAATGAATGGCTGTTATACAAAGATAAATTGCACCGTGCTGTTCATGTGAGGTTCCAGTGGCGTTCAGTTGCGATAGGATGCAGTCGATGTTAATTTGGTCATGTTTTCACATGCTTTGGCCAGATTTTTATTTGCTGTTTTTGCATTTCGAAAAAAATTTGAATTTTTTTTATTTAAATAGTTTATTTTTTTTGTGTATTTTTTAAATTATTTTATTCTATTAATATGAAAAATAATTTTTCAAAATAATAATAAAATATTATTTTAATATATTTTCAAATAATTTTTTTTTAAATCAATCCTTATTGCATTTCCAATCATCCCGTATTCTTTTTGTTTTGTGCGAGCAGAAGTGTGCAAGAGATCTGCTATGCTACCTGCTAAAGCCTCATTGTGGTGCACGTGCTATTGAAATGGAAAATGGAAATGGCTTTTAGCACGTGGGAGTCGGGGTTAGATAGAGGTTTGTGAAAATTCAAATTTTACTTTTTTGTTTAAAGTTATATTTTTATATTTTTAGATTGTTTTTACATGCTAATATTAAAAATAAATTTTAAAAAATAAAAAAAATAATTATTTTAAAATATTTCTAAATAAAAAACATTTTAAAAATTAATTGCAACTATACTTCTAAACAATCTATGATTGGAATGCTAGCTCGAGTGTTATGTATTGGATTTTAACATTGTAAATTTGATTAAATTGGGTTATTTTCAAAAAATTAAACAAAATATGAGTTAGACATGTTAACTTAGTTTACTTAGTTTTTTTAGTTTTTTTTTAATTTTATCATTTAATATTATATTTTATTAGAAATTATGTTTTATAATTTATTTCATTTTGTTTTTTATCAGGTTATCTTGGTTTTCATGACCCGGGAATAATGCTTATCAGGTTAATCCAAGTTAACTTGGCTTATTTTTTACGTTATTTTTTTAATTAGAATTTTTACAAATTTCATCGTTTGACATTAGGTCCGACAAGGTTAATTGGAAATTAAACTTGATAATTTGTTTTAATTTGTTCTTTATAAGGTTATCTCATTCTCATGATAATGTTGTAAATTTGATAGGTTAACTTAGGTTAAATAAAGTTGTTTTATTATATTTTTTTACATGGTTATCTTGTCTCAAAACTCTGGTCATGAGTTTAATGAGTTGACTTAGATTATTGTTTATGTTTTTTAATTGATTTTTTAATCTCAACTTTCAACATTGGGCTAATTAAAAATTAGATTTCATAATTTATTTTGATTTGTTTCTTATGAGATTATTTTAGTCTTGTGTCTTGGATAATGGGTTTGACAAGTTAATTAAAGTTGTTTTTTTTAGATTTTTTAATTTTATTCTCCAGTATTGAATTAATTGTGAACTAAGTTTCATAATTTGTTTTGATTTGCTTTTAATGAGGTTATCATAATCTTACAACTCGAATAACAGATTTGACATATTAACCTGAGTTGACCCATATAAATCTAGTATGTTGTTATTTTAATGTTAAAAAAAATATCATCTTAAAATATTTTTTAGTCAAATTATGTTTTTACATATCATCTAGCTTGATTTTGGACTTGTAAAATCAATCAGGTCACGTCAAGGTCAACCTCCACATGGTTTAAATTTTTTCCCAACCAAAAAAAAATTAGCAACATCTACATTTTTTTTTTTTACATTCAAGAAAAATTTGACCCAGGTTGCGACATAACATTGGTGAATGGTCTGTTATGTGTGTGTTCTTAACACCTTTACATTTGGTGCCTTTTATGTGTGCGTGCTCTTCACAACTTTGCAAACCAATCTTTATACACTAAAGAGAAAAGCCAAAATATGTGATAATTATTGTATATATACCTTTATTTAAAGTGGATTGTAATAATAAAATGATAAATTTTCCCTTCAAACAAATCTTATATTACTGGCTTTTAGGGGTAAAATGGTATTTTTCTTTAGTTCATTTGTCACTTGAGAATTGTTTAGGGGTATCTTTGTCTTTTCATTATGTTTTTGCACGGTAACATTACTTTGATATCCTTAAAAACAAAAAAATCATTTAATTTTGGTTAATGGTCTTTTAAGCATTTTGCTTTTTTAATATATAGTAAAATTACAAATTTGATCTTGGAGTTAAAAAAATTAAGCCATTAACACAGGGCTATTAAGTTCTTTTCAGATCGGTTATTTTGTAATTAGTAGTTTGGTTAGGGGTGATAACATAATTTACTATTTTAATTACTATTTTTTAAATTGAAAAGGTTATTGGTACGTGCACGCGTCAGCGTGAAGGAGATAATGTGTATTTTGAAAGACGTATATGATACCTCCTGGTGGTTGAGAATATGCTTTTATTGGTTCATTTTATTCTTTGTTGTGTCCTTTTCCTTATGGGTGATGCATATAATCTAAAAGTGATCGGTTTATCATGGATGATGCTTTTTTTTCCTTTTAATCTCTCTCTCTCTTTCTCACCCTTAAAAAATTAAATTGAACCTTTATTGTTGTTGGTGTTTCAGAATCCATCATTTGGGTTTTGATTTTTGATTTTACTCTTTTTTTTGTTGAAGTTTTATTTATTTTCAATTTAATGTTTCATTTGTAATTTGTATATATAATATTTTTTTATTTGGTCCTTCTACTTCTGATTTTTTATTTTTTTTCCTGACTTTTTTGTCAAAGTTTTTATAGTTTCAATTTTATCCTTTAAATCAAGTTTATGATTTTTTTAATAGAAATAACAATATTAATTTCAGTTTGGTCATTCTTCTTTTGATTTCTTATTTGTTTCATTTGTTTTCTTGTCAAATGACAAGTTTTTATGGTTTTTAATTTTATCATTCGAATCAAGTTTGTGTTTTTTGTTATTTCAATAATAATAATGACAATGACAATAACAATGATAACAATAATAATAATATTAATTATGGTAATAATAATAGTGATAATGATATTAAGAATATTACTAATAATACTACTAATAGTGATAATTCTGTTAATAATAGTGGTAACAAAAATAGTTTTTTTATTATTATGATAATAATAATAATAATAATAGTGGCGGTGACAATAATAGTAGTAGTAGTAATAATAATAATAATAAAACCAATAGCAATAATAACAATGCTATTATAATAATTGTAGCAATACTAATAGTTTTTTTATGATAATAACTGTGACAATAATAGTAATAACTAGGATAATAATATCAATAATAATAATAATTTTGATAGTAATAAAAATAATACTACTAGTAGTAACGGTAATGGTAAAAGTAATGGAAATAATACTAGTAGGATAGTAGTATTAAAAATGATGATGATAATAATAATATTACTAATAGTGAAAATAATAATGGTAATAGTAGTGTATTAAGATACTAACAATGATGATAATAATGGTAATAATAATAATAGTAATGATAATAATGACAATAGTAATAGTAGTAGTTTATGATAATGATAATAATGAATATGAAATCAATAATTATGATGATAGTAATAATAATGATGATGATGATATCAATGTTATTAATATTATTAGTAATAATAATTAGGGGTGTGTAAAAAAACCGGAAAACCGAGAAAACCGAGAAAAAAGCCGATTAGAATAGTTAGAAAAAATCCCAATTCGGTTCGGTTTTTGATTTTGTAATGCAGGAACCGGTTAACTCGGACCGAACTGAACCGGTTCAAAAAAGGCAATATAAATAGAAAAAATTATCCCCTCCCCCCTCAGTAACCCTAGCCGCAACCCCCTCTCACTCTTTTTCTCCCTCTCCCTCTCACTCTTTCTATCCAATAACCCTAGCCGCAACCCCCTCTCCCCTCTCCCTCTCCCTCCCCCTAGACTTAGAAGGTTTGCTTCAAACATGGATCCATATGTTGTGACTTACATGATTGCAGAGACCACCATCTCTAGTAAGCCATGAGAACCTCAACCAACATCACATACGAAATGTTATTGTTAATAGTCTTTCCAATGAATCATGGGAAGATTTGTTTGTGTGAATATGATGGATATCTTTATTGGTGTCAAACTATGATTGGTACCGTAATAATTGCTTTGCTTGCTTCATGATTCTGCATTTTGTGGTGAATAATGTAAGGCTCAGTTTCAATGACTTCTATGGAAGTTCAGTGCCTGGAAATTTAGGGTTTTGATTTATAGTAGAGTTTTGGATTTGGGATGAAATCAGTGGTGTTGATTTTTGGCTTTTAATTCGTTTGCACAATGCAGGGAAAACAATTATGGTGAAAAGGCATCTTACTTGGCGAGTTCGAGGAGAAATATGAGCATATAGGTTTTTTCGGTTTTTTGAAATCAAGAACCGGACCGGACCGAAACTGGTCGGTTTGACTCAATTCAGTTTGATTTCGATTGTTTTTTTTTCAAAAAGAAAAAAAATCGGTTTGGTTGTTTTTTATAGTTAAAAACCGAACCGAACCTAAAATGATCACCCCTAATAATAATGGTGATAACAATTATAGTAATAGCTGTAATGATAATGATAATAATGATGATATTACTTATTAATAATAATAGTGATAGTAATAGCTGTATTGATAGTGATAATAATAACAATGATAATTCATTATTTAATGTTAGATTTGCTTGTGATTGAGTTTTGCTATTTTTCCATGTATGATATTTTTAATCTAATAACTCAGATTACGAGTTTGAAAAGTAAATGTGTCCCGATATCTTTAATTTTTTTTATATTTTTTATCATATTATTTTTTTAATTTTATTATTCAACACTAATTTTTTAAAATAAAAACAAATAATTCAAGTTTTCTTTGAATTTATTGAACAAATCGATTCTTATGGAGTTAGTGTTTAAATAGTTTGATTGAAAACTCATATTAGGAAAAGATCCAAGTTAAGGGATTTTAAAATTTATCTTCTTGTTCATATTTAATAATACTATAAAAAAATCTCTATACTTTCTATGTTTTTGTTTTTAAATAGTTTGGTTGGTGTTCGAGTACGGCCAATGGGCTACTGCCCCTTATACTAGCAAATAAATCTAAAAAATATGTTAAATTGTATCTAATAATTTAAAGTTATTTAATTATAATTACCATATTTAGAGTTGATATATAGAGTTTCATATAGTTTCATATTATTTTTCTTATAATTAAAGTTTCAACATAATAAACAATAATAAGATAACCATTAATCATTTAATATAAAATCATTATAACTTGAAAATTACTTTTATAATTAGAAAATGTTGCGATGTCGTGGTCGCACAAATTAATTACCCTAGCTTAAAACACAACACACAAGATAGTATAGAGCAAGCAAGGGGTTGATCCCACAAGGAAGATTTAGTTCAGATTTTTATGCTAAACGTTATGCAATTGGAGGGTTTTGATTTGTGATGATCTAAACTATGGAAGAAATTAAACTAGCAAATAAAATCAATTGAAATCAAAATTTATCAAGAAAACAAACCTTGGTTGCAAGCACACATCCACCAACGGAAATTAGAACCGATCCTTGAAACAAAATTACAATTTATATTCTGAATTTTTATCTTTTCTTAATGTTGCTTAATTAACGGATCCGCTGTATAACTAACCCTAACCAATAAACAATCACAATGTCCGCATTAATGATTTAGTTCAATGGCACCCTAAGTTTAATAATGTAGTTCTGCCACAATTATCAAGCTTGGTTGCTTCACAAGTTCATATATCACAACTCCGGTTTTGATATCAAACTTAGCAATAAATTGTTCACAATAATAACTTAGAGTTCCGCTCTAGCAATTATCAACAACAATCATAGAAAATATGCATAGGAAAACAACCATACTTATTCATAATATAAACTGAAAATAAAAGGAAGAATAAATATCACGGTTCTTGAAATTCGAAGGTTTGTTGTGTTCTTGCAACCAAGAAAAGAACTTAGTCGTGCATAACCATTGAACAACTACTCTTAAAGAATGAAGAGAGCATGATTTTTTGGGTTTGTAGAGGAGAGAATTTGTGTTTCTTCACTTCTGGCTGCTGCCCCCCTTCTCTCCTCTCTCTCTTTCTTTTTATATGCTAAGAAACCCTAGTTCCTAATTTACAAAGTAGTCCTCCATTAAGTTGACAATTGACATTTAAGTACTTCAATAACTATTTTCCCTAAAAAAGAGAAATAGCCTTGCATGAAATCTTCAAACTATGACTTAGAGGAGCTAAATTGCTGATATAAAAACTTGGATGACGGTTTAGAAGCTTCGAAACATAATTTGGACTCATTTCTTTACGAAACCTGATTGCTGGCAAAATTCAGTTGTCATTTTTGAAAAATCATATCTCCCTCATATGACATTTTGTTTGGATGAAATTTTGAGCGTTTATAGAAATGTGAGTCAGGAATCCAAAAACATTGAGTTTGCATAAATTGGAATTCTATAGCTCCAGATATTGAATTTTGAATAGACAAAGGTCAATAGTGGCAGAATGCGAGATTTGACTTTGAAGGATGTGATTTCCATGATCTTCCTCTTCTTATTTTTCTTGCATTACATTTCCAGAAAGGTATGGATGTTAGCTTTTTAGTGCCATTGGAATCACTTCATTTTGATCTCTAGAACTCACGCTCTGCACAAAACATTGACTGAACGTCAAATCTGCTAATTATCTCCAATTTACTCCTTTTTGCATTTTTCATCCAAAAGTGCCTTCAAAACATAAAACAAAGAATATCAAGGCATTTTACATATAAAACATGGACAAAACATTAGGTAAATATGGGTGAAACTATCGAATAATATGGTTACATCAAATACCCCCATACTTAGCTCTTTCTCGTCCTCGAGAAAGGATAAATAAAATTAAATTGAAAATAACCATGATCAATCTCTTAATCTCCCATAAATGTTCAAGAGTACGAGCATTATAAATAAGAATATAATAAAAAAGAATAAAATAAATAAATTTTTATGAATTTGTTTACATGCAAACTTCAAAATTCAATCAATCATCGGGATTTAAATGAAATCTATGCCATGCCAAAGTGATAGGTCCTCTCATTGATATACACTCCAACACTCATGTGTTTAGGGTTTATGTGTTTAAATCTCTCAAATTCAATCAAAGAGTATGTTCTACCATAAGCTTGTTTTTCAATCTCATCTCCATTACTAACATATTACAAACAATGCATGAATCAAAAGGTCTTATTTTCCGGTTGTAATGCGGCTAAGGTTAAGGTGAGGTAAAAGAGAGTAAAAGAAAAGGTTCAAATCAAAGAAAGTAGAGCATTCCGAAAAATGATATTTCAAACAAGATATTCCATCAAAGCTCATAAATTTTTCATCTTTAATCACCAATGCTCAACTCCTTTTGATTGTAAGCTCTTTTAACATAAAATCTTAAGAACATAAAGGAACATTTTTTTTTCTTTTTGTTTTTGTAATTTTGCCCATCTTTTCATCAAGCATCACTTCTTCTATCTTTTCACATAATTTCCAACCATAATTCGATGAAGTATCACAACTACATGCTCTACTAATCCTTGGCCAGGGGAAAAGGAAAATATATATAAACTTAAGGCTTATACATGGATAAAGCAAAGAAAAGATAAACAAGCTCAAAAGGGGCTCATTAAGGATAATATGTTTTAGGTTGGCCTTTTGGTTCAAGTGCTTTAAAATTCCTATTGCCTTTATCATCTTCATGTATATTTGTAATGGAATATAATCTCAATAAGATATGAAGCAAGTTCTAGAGATACATATCATTGAAAGAATGCACACTCAAAGAATACAATGTTGAAGGCTCAAAAACTTGTAGTGGTATAACACTATAAAATCAACATGGCATATTCTCAGAGTCAATCCCTAAACCAATTAAACCTTAAAATTTGCATGCATACTCTTTCATTTGATTTATATCTTCATCTATCTCAATTAATTCTCATACATAATACTCATATTCTCAAAAACCAATAGGAGTTAAAAAGGATCAAACACAATTTTTTTTTTAAGAACAACAAAGAAAACTAAAATAAGAAAATAAAAATTCTCCCAATACCCCTATACTTAAAACACAACATTGTCCTCAATGTTGAAATAAAAGCAAAGGAACATAAGAGAATGACAGAAAATAAATTAAAATACAAAAAAATAAAAGATAAGGAAAAAGAGAGCAAATCTGATTTTTCTTTTTGTGTGTTGGGTTGCCTCCCAGTAAGCGCTTTTGTTTTATGTCATTGGCTTGACATGTGGCATGCTCATTCTTCATAGATTGGTTCAGCTAACTCTACAGAAGCGGTGAGTTCTGCCGTCCAACCTTCATAGAAAGGTTTCAAACGATGTCCCCTTGAGTACTTTGCTGGTTTCTAAACTTGTAATTTCAATTGCACCATAAGGAAAAATATTAGAAACAACAAAGGGTCCAATCCAACGAGAGCGCAATTTTCCAGGAAAAAGTTTTAAACACGAATGATAAAGAAGGACTTTGTCTCCAACATGAAATTCCTTTCTTGTAAATTCTTGCATTCTCGTAAGCATCATTTCAAATTTCTTCCAACTCTTGCAGTTGCAATTTTCTTGCAATCCCAGCAGCATCATAATCCATGTTGCATTGTTTAATAGCCCAAAAAGCTTTGTGTTCAAGCTCCACCGGTAGATGACATGCTTTCCCATAAATCATTCTATAAGGTGACATTCCTATAGGTGATTTATAAGCAATCCTATAAGCCCAAAGTGCATCTCCAAGGCGTAGACTCCAATCTCGTCGGTTAGGTTGCACTGTTTTCTCCAAAATGGACTTGATTTCTCGATTGGAAATTTCAGCTTGGCGATTCGTTTGCGGATGATATGCTGTGGATGTTCGATGAGTCACATGATATTTGCGTAGCAATGCTTCCATGGAACGATTGCAGAAATTAGTACCACGATCACTGATGATAGCTTTAGGGATGCCAAACCTATCAAATATATAAGTCCTGACAAAATCTAAAACAACCTTAGCATCGTTAGTTCATGTGGCTTTCGCCTCAATCTATTTGGACATATAATCAACAGCAAGAAGAATATAAAGATTTCCAAAAGAAGAAGGAAATGGACCCATAAAGTCAATACCCCAAACATAAAAAATTTCACTTACAAGAATATTTGTTAAAGGCATTTGATTTTTATGAGTGATATTACCTGTTCTTTGGCATTTTTCACATGATTTGTAGAAGTGATATGCATCTTTAAAAATAGAAGGCTAATAGAAACCACTTTCAAGTACCTTGTGGGCTGTTCTTTTTGCTCCAAAATGCCCACCACAAGAATGAGAATGACAAAAAGTGAGAATGGAATGAAATTCATCCTGTGGTACACATCTCCTTACTACTTGATCCACACAAAATTTCCACAAGTAAGG